CTACCGTCGCGGAATGTACATTATATACCATCTTGCACTATGTACTGCGGATACAACAATATAAGCGGTGTCTGTGTGCGTGCCAGCGTAATGAACGTTTCTATGTGCTAAGAAACAGTAAAAAGTATGGCGCGAACCGTACGAGCGGCAACGTCGCGTGCGTTCCGAGGCCTTGCCGCGGTGAAAACAATACTCTTGTATTATTTAATTTTACTTGAATATATTATTTTAAATAATCATTCTACGCTACCGATTCATATATTTCGATATTTTAACGTGATTCGCATTCGGAAACTGGTTTTTTCGTCGCGTAAACAATACGTCGAAATCGACGCCGGTATGCAGCGTGTTATGAAATTCAATACATACTTTCTTGCTCAAAGATCGATATTAAACGCGTCATCGGGAACTCTTTACCGATATTTTCAAACGTAAAATTTACATTCCACATCGGGAATTTGAAAGAAATCAATATATCAATGATAAAAAAACAAACAAAGCCAACGAAAATAGCCGGTGGGATGAAAAAAAAAATAGTAACCGATGTTGACCTTTTCGAACGCGTCTCGCTAGTAGCGCGGCCAGCTGACGCGACGTTGCCGCACTTCCTGCCGTGCCCTGAACCGTTCACGCTTATCGCCTTTACGGCCACACGATTAGGCCCATATTCGCATAGCAACGTTAAGTATATAAAGGATTTAGGACGTTTCACGGTACTGACACTTCCCGCGCGAAAAATTTGAAATGCTTTTATCAGTCGTACTCGGCGATGCGCGCCGTGTAGTAACTTGAATATTTTCTCTGTTTTTTTTTAAAGTTTATTTATTCCGTTTTTAGATTTTATGTGCAATATTTTGTGAGAAGTGTTTCGTATACGAATACATAATTTTATAAATACTTATAAGTTTACAAAAACCAAAGTGCCCAAAGTTATAATAATTATTATAGACTATTAGTGTTTACAAAATATTTATTAAAATAGTTATTTATATTCATTGAACAACATTAACTTTAAAGTACTTTTGATAAAAGTGTAAATAAATAGTGTGAAAACAAAAAAAAAGTGAGGGAAATCCGAAGAAAATTCAACTCCGAGTACCAGGAGCGCATAGTTGTGAAAGAGTTCACTGCGCCGCGGCCGTACAAGTGACGCTGTGACGCGATGATGGCGCGGTGACAAAGTGGCCTACATGCCGGTGGCGCTGGGCTCGCTCGGCGGCGAGGGCGAGTACCGCGAGTACGGCCACCATCTCTCGCCGCACCACCCCTCACACATACAGTACCATGAGTACGCGCCGCCGCCGCCGCCGCCGCCGATATACCACCCCATCCCGGACCCCTACTTTAGGTAAACCTCTTCGCAAATTATGGCCGCCTAGTACTTCGGTAGAATAGAGAAATCTCTGCCAATACTACTTGGATTAAGTTTATTAGCTAGTAAGTTACAATAGCGGTTGGTTTTAGTTCGGTTCCCAAATTAGGTAAAGTAATGATTTTCGAAAATATTAGACGGTAGACCTAGGTCCAAATGTTTTTGTTAGTACACTTTTAAGAAGAATTATTTCTTGTTAGTATAAGTGGTCGCGCTTCGGAGGTTTAAATAGTATTTTTATGTAGGTAATCGTTTTCAGCTTGTCACATAAATTTTCCAAAATGACGAAAATAGTAAATTTTCCTGTAATCCAAATCCAAACTAATATTATAAATGCGAAAGTAACTCTGTCTGTCTTTCTTTTCTTCACGCCTAGAAACTACAGAACCGATTTCTGAGAAATTTGGTACAGACATAGTTTGGAACTCGAGAAAGGACATAGTATAGATTTTTATACCAAAAATCTACAGGAAGTCACTATTCCACGCGAACGGGAAAAAGCTAGTATATGTATAAAGTAGCACGTTGTGACGTCATAATTATGTTATGTACGTCACAAAGCAGACATATTTCTCTTGAATTGTCTAAAAATAGGTTTTTGAAGAATACCGTACTTATTTTTGTGTATGTATTTTCTATGGTTTTGTGAGTTGAAATGATTTCTTTTTGGCCTAGGAAACTACCCCATTAGACTAGAAAAACACCCTTCGTTTTACTAACTCAAATTCTGTATCAAAATCGTCAGTTTACTAATGAATTTTGTGAGACAGGTTTCGTTGCGTCAAAAAACATAATTAAAAAAAAAATGCTAGAAAAAAGAATATTATGTACACACAGTGTATAGTAAAATCGATGAATTATGTTTTAAATATTTCATATTGCACTAGCTTCTCTCACGCGGTTTTACCCACTGCTCGGCTCCATTTGATCGTAGCGTGATGTTTGCACACAGGAACATTGTAGCTATATCAGTGAAAGAATTTTGGCAATCCGACCAGCGGTTCCAAAGATTACTCCCTACATTCAAACTTAAAAATTTAACCTCTTTATAATATTAGTATAGATTGAAAAGACAAAATATGTTAATGACTGAAAGATGCTAATTAAATAAAGTAAGCACTCTCTTATCGATGTAATTTGCCCCATTACAAGTTTAGTGCAAGTGCAGTTTTAAGATCTATTTAAACAATTTACTAATGTCGAGTCATTATCCAATCAACTAGCGACAGCCAAGCGCACCAGACTCAATAGAACCAAATGCTTCACTAGCGCCATCTAGCAATCGTAAAATTGGAAACTCTAATGAAAAAAAGAAACTGACTGCTTTGAGAAGGAGCGCGTGATGGCTCTAATGTTTAAGTGGACGTTATAGTGTTTGCTGACATTTGATTAGTTCTGATCTTAAACTGTTTTTATAATAACGACAACAACCGTTTTCCCAAGAAGACATCCAAGAAATTGAGTGTACGAGGTGAATCGGTTGCTTTTGGGTAGACGTGCTCCCTCGTAGGTCGCTTTATCATTTACCACCAGGCGTGATAGCGGTCAAATTCCTGCCCATTTGGAAATAAAAAAAGTCATAGTCCAAAATTATTTGGTAAAACGAAATTCGTGGGCACCCCGCATAGTTGATTCTTGCTTATTCATACAAGCGAGACAATATTCTACTAAGATTCTCTGCTAGCGGCTTTGCCCAAAAATCTGCTAGCGGATTTGAATGTGGTAGGTCCATGTTTCGCCACGAATGAGCTGGGTCGACCGGAGTGATATAACGGCCTCACAAAAATTCGGGAAGTACGCTCTTGTTTTATTTCACCGTGTGAATGGGGTTATTAGATGTCTAGTCCTCCCGTCTTTACCCTCAATCAGTCTTCAGTCTCCAAAAACTTGGCAATGCACTTGCGTAACTATAATCCTGCGGTTTGCTTAACACCAGGTGGTCCGTCACCTTGTTTGATTTTAGTTAAAGTTTGGACGATTGAGCCTCCGAAATTCACAATCACAGCGCGAAAGTTGTGTATCTTCGGTTTTCTGTAAGGCCGTGGTTTCACTCCGGTCGAGCCGAACACGGGTCAATAATAAGGTCGGCAAAGGAGCATACGGACTGTAGGGCCGTGGTATCACTCCGGTTGAGCCGACCCATTCGTGTCGAAGCTTGGCTCCCTCACTTATGTATACACGAAACTAAAACTAATTAAACAGAAAAATCTTAGAAATGCGATTGCTTTTCTCATTCCGGAGACTAAGGCTTCATGATGACGTAAGAGTTACATCAGATCATTTGTTTGTTTGTCGAACAAAATATGTATATCTATAGGAAAATATTTGTAGGTCAATCCGTCTGGGTTTTAAGATTGGTACAATTTTTTTTTGTACTAGGACGTCAGCATTTTGTAGTTGGTAGTCCATCAACCTAAGAATTGGGTAGTTTCCTAGGTCAAAAATAAATTAATTCGATGTCTCAATACAATAAAGTATTGAAAAATAACTAAACTTTTATTCATCGATCGATCGATACACTGAATTTTTAGATATTTTTACCGTATTGTTGACGATTGGATTGAATTTGACATGAGGATTTTCCAACCCGACACCGAAAAAAAAACTTCCAACGTCAAAAACGATACTACGAATTTTTTATGAAACTCCAAATTATTATGTCATATTATTTTGGCGTCAAATAGCTTACTTATTTCTTCAAAATTAGCTAGAAAATATCGAAAATTTAGTGCATAGACAAATCGATGAATAAAAGTATAGTTATTTTTCAATACTTTATCTTATTGAACTATCGAATTAATTTCTTTCTTACCACGGAAAATACCCAAATTTTAGTTTAAATGGTTCAGGTTTATCAGAGAGCGCTGATGCCCGGTCTCTGTCTATTTGAGTCCCTTAGTCGGCTCCTGCGACCCGCGAAATGAGAAGTGACCATTACAAATATATTATTTTACCCAGTTGTATAATTCTTGATATTTTACATGGCTGTAAACGAAACTTACACTGTCATGGTGGCCCGGAGGTTAAGTCGTCTCCTTCTCATGCATGAGGGTCCGAAACCTAACAAGTACCAATATGACTTTCTCTGAGTAATGTTTATCTAGCGTCTACACCCCACTGATATACGGCGAAGGAGAGCCAAGCAAGTGTGGGAGAGCCAAGCTTCGGCACGAATGGGTCGGCTCGACCGGAGTGATACCACGGCCTCACAGAATACCGACGTGAAACAACCATAGCGTTGTGTTTCGCCGTGTGAGTGAGGTTACCGGAGACCTAATCCTTCCCCTCCCCCGATCCCTCCCAATCCCTAAATCTCCAAAATACTAATCCCTAAAAGGTCGGCAACGCACTCGTTTCTCCTCCGTTACGGGTGTCCATGGGCGGCGCTGATTACTTACCATCACTTAATCCGTCTGTTAGTTTGACGACCTATTCAATAAAAAAAAATATCTTTAGAAAACCTGGACTTCTAACATAATTTCAAATTATAAGTTTAAAATCGGCATTGAGCAAGCGCAGTGGTTAACTCAAACCTTCTCCGTGTGAGAAGAGGCCTTTGCTCAGCTGTAAGCATTTATAGGCTGATGATGATGATGAATGCTAATTCTATGTTTTTCTTTGATTTCAGGCGGCACGCTCCTTATTTTGGACAACCAGACTACAGAGTTTATGAACTGAATAAGCGGTTACAACAGAGGACAGAGGTACGTCCGTATTCCTTTATCTGTTTTGTCTTTGAGGATATTTTTTTATATGACAACAATAGAAAACACATTGTGTCTCGCGTGGAACCGGGCTCCACGCGCCACGGGTTAATAATTTGTGTATACTATACATATTCAACCAATAATTTATGTTTTTTGACGCGGAATTTTATAATAATGACGATTTATTAAATAATGTAATTTTCGCACCAGTAAGAGTTAAAGAAAATTGAACTGGTCTATCGTGTCAATTAAGTCTCTACCTATATCAGTTATCAACTAGCGCGATTACCTGATGGTAAGCAATCAGCGCCGCCCATGGACACCTTTAGCACTAGAGGAGTTGCACTTGCGTTGCTGGCCTTTTGGTAATAACCGCTTTTGGGAATAAATATTGGGGATTTAGGGATTGGGTAAGGATGGAAGAAGGGCATCGACAGTAGGATAGTCTTGTGTATTCATACGACATATTTATGTAAATAATATACATCAGACCCAGAACAGAGATTTGTTGATCACGCAGAGTTGTTCTGTGTGAAGATTGAACCCCTTAATCGTTGTGCAGAAGCACCCGCTGCCACTATGTCAACCGTGCTCTCAAAAATACCCAGTCTAAAATGCCATCGCATCTTCAAATCGAGGGTTTTAGCGACGCAAGAATCGCTAGATCTAGATCTCTTGTCTAGAGCTTTAGGACCGTCTAAACCGTGCACTCTAAAACACCCAGTATAAAACGTCACCGAATCTTTAAATTAATGGCTTTGGCGCCACAAGACGATAGAGCAGTAAAGGCAGAGTCTGTAGATCATCAGGAATGTCTAATATAATATTTGCTTAAGGAAATTCATTCAACTTATGACAGTAAAGTATGGACTTGCCGTTTCACTAACGCCATCTCTTAGCCGCAACCAAAAAACTCGCTTCTTGATATACATATATTTTTTTTTCACTCGCGCGGTTTCTCCTGCTGTTTGGCTCCTAAAGATCGTAGCGTGTTGTTTTATAGCCTATAGCATTCCTCGATAATCGGACTAATAAACACAAAAAGAATTGTTCAATAACAATGAGAAGTTCCGGAGATTAACGCGTTCAAATAAATAAACAAACTCTACAGCTTTATAATGTTAATACGAAAATGTTTCCGTTGCGGCCACGAGATGGCGTTAGTTTAAAAGAGGTATGCGTATAACACGGATTTATCGAATACCTCTCTCCTCTTAGACTAACACGGCTTTGTATCAACGCTTGCTTTCTATTCAGCCAGGAAGTTACCGGAGGCCCAATACCCTACCCCTTATAAGGCTTTTATTGAGACGGGAAAGTCATCAAATGGCTTCTTCTGCCCTGAGTTGGGTGGGAGAGTATCAGACTCTTACTGGCTAAATACCACCCCGTTCTTTTACCTGCTCCTGGCCGGGGTATAATAATGCGCTTACCCCGCAACCCAAGCTGAAAATCTGCCCTGTAAGGCCCCGTCTGTGGTGGTCTAATGGCTCTTTGAGGCGCGCGCGGAACGCTGGTTCTGGTCGGGCGGCGAGCCAGCCTTACTCGACGTCCGAAGACCAGCGCTTACGGCGGCTCCCTTATCAAACTGGGCAACATATTACGTGATCCGTTTTCATCAACTGCCCATGACAGTCCACTGTTGAATTATAAGCTTCCTCTTTATAAGAAAGGCTTGCCTTAATCTCCACACTTGGCAGGCAAGTTGGAGTTAGAGCTGTTTAAGAGATTCAGTTTTATCATGTAACCCTGGCTTTTAATATATGTCTCATGTGGGTATAGTTTCATAGTCTGACCCGTGGTCTGACCTTACAAAACCCTCGGAAAGAAAAGTGATGGTGACTTCAATTCTCAACAAAATATGTACCAGGCAAACATAAATTCTAAAGAGTTATTCTTAACGTTTCAGGACTCAGATAACCTGTGGTGGGACGCGTTCGCGACAGAGTTCTTCGAGGACGACGCGACGCTCACACTCACCTTCTGTTTAGAAGATGGACCTAAGAGATACAGTAAGTTTCTTGCGTTTTATGAATGCCTGGTACTCGGGCCACGTAGGTATCATAAGAGTGTTTACATTGAAATGGGACTTTTTAAATTGTACTAGTTTCAAATTTCAGTAATAATAAATAAGATATTATTTTTTTATATTACATAGGAATTTTAACGTCTTGGATTTTTATAAACGCCTGGTACTTAGGCCATGTATCTCTGCTCTTAACTCACCTATCATTTGCTTTGGAAAAGATCGAACTAACCATAAATCTATAATCTCCTCTGCAGTCCTATTGATGTTAGATTCAGTAAATAAAATTAAAAAGGGGCGGGGCCAGGGATGTTATCTTGGCGGGAAAGGGCTATCACTGTTTTCCTCACGCGTTGATGTACATTCGGGTCTTTCTGTCCAATAAAGAATTACATATATATATAAATTAAACATAAATTTTTTGATAGATAGTAAGTAATATTAACTGACAAGCGGATATTAGTTACATTAAATTAACGCCATCTTACCAGAAAGCGATGGATCTCATTCTTGACACGTAGAGTTCTTCGTATATGATTTGCTTTAAAAACATTTCCAATTATTTTTTTGGCTTTTAAAGAATAACTGCAAGACTTATTAGTATATTAGTGTAACAAATTCTAGTAAAATGTCTTTTCGGCCCGAAGACTATATCGCTTCTCATGCACGAGTTTTCTAAACCTGGGTGACTTTCGCAATTTATATGTACCTACTTTCAATAATTATTTAGATTCGCCACTGGCAAACGGTTAAGGAAAACATCTTGAAGAAACATGGACTAATATAATGTCTAATTTGGTACCTATCAGTTTCAATATCACTAGATTGATGCTTAAACCTTCTCTGTATGAGAAGAAACCTTTGGTCCGCAGTAAGTATTTATAAGATGATGCATGCGGGTGCGGGTTCGAAACCTGGCAGCCAATGTGACTTTTCCCGAATTTTATGTACTTTCTATGATTGTTTAGACACCACTGACATACGGTGAAGGAAAATTTCGTGTTAATAATAAGTTTAAAATCGTCAATCCGTCTTGAGCACGCATGGTGATTGGTGATTTATGCTCAAACCTTCTTTCTTTTTTTTTTATACGTTTTCCCACACTAGGATTTTCTCCTGTGTCGTGGGTGCGTTTACAAACATAACATTTCACATAAACATCACGCCCAGACCCGGAACAACAATTTGTGGATCACACAAAGAGTTGTTCCGTGCGGGAATCGAACCCGCGACACGTTGCGCCGTAGCCAGTTGCCCAGCCACCGCGCCAACCGTGCAGTCAAACTACTTCAACTTCTGCTTCTGAGAAGGGACCTTAACTCCGAAATGGGAATTTATAAGCTGATGATAATTATTATAATATCTAATGTCTTTTTTTCTATTTTTTCAGCGATAGGCAGGACATTGATACCTCGATACTTTCGCAGTATATACGAGGGTGGAGTTTCAGAGTTATACTACACGATGCGGCAGCCGAAGGAATCGTTTCACAACACAAGCATCACCCTCGACTGTGATCACTGTACCATGGTCACGCACCACGGGAAACCTATGTTCACTAAAGTGAGTATTCTATTGTAATAAATACGGGATTTTGTAGTGATTACGGGATTTTTTGTAGTAAAAATCTTGTAGTGGTTGCGGGGTTTTGTTATGATAAATGAAAATATTTTTTTATGTAATAGGTCGGCAATCGATCAGCGCCGCCCATTGACACTCGCAACGGAGAAGTTACGAGTGCGTTGCCGACCTTTTAGGGATTAGGGATTTGGAGTTTAGGGATTGAGGAGGGATTGGGGAAGGGGAAGGATTGGGCCTCCGGTAACCTCACTCACACGGCGAAACACAACGCAGTGGTTATTTTACGCCGGTTTTCTGTGAGGCCGTGGTATCACTCCGGTAGAGGCGACCCATTCGTGCCGAAGCATGGCTCTCCCACACTTAAATTTGTAGTGATTGCGGGATTTTGTAGCAGCGAAAGGATTGTAGTAAACATATTAAAGAGAATCTCCGTCTTTCTCAAATATATGATAACTTAAACTTTCTGAAAATCATGAAAGTATAAATCATGCATTGTATTCCATGTTTTTGATGTTTTATTAATGTTTAATTAAACTTTAATTATTAATAAAATCTTATACAGATATACTACTACTCATATTGTAAGTGACAACAAAGGATGCATGATGTCATTGAGTGATGCCCAAAGACTAAAGTAATATATATAATGGGTGATGCCGTAGTATTATTCTTGTTGAACCGACCCATTGACTTTAAAAGTTGTTTAATAAGTATTATGAATAAATGTTATCACCCCCCCAGGTATGCACGGAGGGTCGCCTGATCCTGGAGTTCACGTTCGACGACCTGATGCGCATCAAGACGTGGCACCTGGCGGTCCGCGCGCACCGCGAGCTCATCCCGCGCGCCGCCGTGCATCCGCCCGACCACGCCGCGCTCGACGCGCTCGCCAAGAACATTACGCGCCAGGGGATCACCAACTCCACACTTAATTATTTACGGGTACCTATCCTGTCTGTCATCGAACTAGCACACGGATTACCTGATGGTAAGCAATCAGCGCCGCCCATGGACGCCAATCCGGGGTTGCGGGGTAAGCGCAATGAGTCACCGCGACCTCGGCCCAGAGCAGGAGAAGGAACAGGGTATTTTTAGTCAGTAAGAGTCTGACACTCTCTCTCGCCTTACCCTGGGCGGGAGAAGCCATAAGATGATTTCCCCTGACAAAAAAATGGACACCTACAACAATGGAGCAGTTACGAGTGCGTTGCCTTTTGGGTTTTGAGATTTGGAGATTTAGAGATTGGGGGAGGGGAAGAATTGGGCTCCCGATAAACTCACTCACACGACGAAACTCAACGACGCTGTGCTGTTTCACGCCGGTTTTCTGTGAGCTTGTAGTATCTCTTTAGTCGAACCGAAGCTCTCCCACACTTTTTCATTTACGCTGTTAGAAGAAATACCGATATTATGTTATACATAAATAAAATAAAATAGGTTTCATTGCTGTTCAATGTTTTCAACTACGTAATATTCTTAAGAGTAATATACAAAAATTTGCTATGTTAGACATAGTACTAACATTATACCATCTGTTCTTTCTCTACCTAGTTATGCGTGATCTTGGAGCCCATGCAAGAGTTGATGTCTCGACATAAAGCGTACGCGCTGTCTCCCCGCGACTGCCTCAAGACGACGCTCTTCCAGAAGTGGCAGCGGATGGTGGCGCCACCTGGTCAGTGAATCTAACAACTTTACTTTTTTGTTATTATTTTTTTATAAGTACGGCAAATGAGCCGAACGAGAGAAGTCGTGGTGGCCCGGAGGTTACGGATCCCGCTTCTCATGCATGAGGGTTCGAAACCTGGCAAGTACCAATGTGACTTTTTCCGAGTCATATGTACTTTCTATGATTATTTAGACACCACTGACATACGGTGAAGGTAAACATCGTAAGGAAACTTGGACTTATAATTATGAAATTATGATTATAAGTTTGAAATCGCCAACCTGCATTGAGTTAGCGTGGTGATTAATGCTCAAACCTTCTCCGTATGAGAAGAGGCCTTTGCTCAGCAGTGGACACTTATAGGCTAATGATGAAACGAGCCGACGGATTACCTGATGGTGAGCAATCAGTGTCGCTCATGGACATCACCCGCAACAACAGATGAGTTATGAGTGCGTTGCCGTTGCCGACCTTTTGGGGATTAGGGATTTGGAGATTGGGGGAAAGGAAGGATTGCAGGAGAAGGGCATACAATTTTACGTGTGTCAAAAATACTATATTAACTAAAAATCGCGGGTTACTCACGTGTATATATTGAGAAAAGCTCTACTAGTTTCGAACCACAGAGGGGTTCTTCCTCATGAGCAGAGTGCGCGGACGCGGCGATGTCGCGCAGCCTACTCCGCGCACACGGATAGTATTTCTCACGATAGTTATTATAAAAACAAATACTATATTGTTTCAAAACTTTTTTTTATGGTCGGCAATAGACAATCGCAGAGTGCGTTGCCGGCTTTTTGGGTTTAGGATTACGGAGATGTAAGAATTCTGGGGAAGGATTGGGCCTCCGGTAACCTCATTCACACGGCGAAACACAACACTATGGTTGTTTCACGCCGACTGTCTTTGCGGCAGTGGTATCACTCCGGTCGTGCCGTAGCATGGCCCTCCCGCACTTGTTTATGTGTGTGAATTGAAAGTACTTAAAGTTTGACGAATAAATAACAGTATAATGTATACATTTCAGAGTCCCAGCGGCCGGCGAGCAAGCGTCGCAAGCGTAAGGGAAGCGGCGGACCCAACGCCGCGCCCCCCGCGCCCGCCAAGAAACGATCGCCCGGACCTAACTTTAGTCTCGCCTCGCAGGTACGTCGTATTCAAAATCCTAAAACTCTACACATTTACAGATGACACTAAAATACAAACTAAAATTTATATCTTTATTGTTTAGTTTTAAATAATTGTTAATACATTTTAACTATGTATAATATTCTACATATAAATAAGGTTAATATAACAATTTCTTATAGGTTAGCACTGCATGCCCTATAAATCTATACTTCTATACTAATATTATAAAGAGGTAAAATTTGTAAGTTTGTATGTAGGGGGTAATCTTTAGAACCGTTGCTCGGATTGCCAAAATTCTTTCACTGATAGATAGCTTCAATGTTCCTGAGTGCTATAGGTTATAAAGCATCACGCTAGGATTAAATGGAGCCGAGCAACGGGTGAAACCGCGCGAGAGTAGCTAGTTAACAAATAAAATAAAAAAGTGCTACAATACACATTTTTTTGCCATTCGTCTATCGTTCTCAATTATTTCTTATTGCTGTTCAATTTTCTGTACGTTCGCGTCACCCTGATCTTGTAACTATAGACTACTCTTTTTATAAATATAACTAGTAACTTTCGCGCGGTTTTACCCGCTGCTCGTCTCCTACATATCGTTGCGTGTTGTTTTATAGCCTATAGCCTTCCTCGATAAATTGACTAACGAATACAAAAAGAATTGTACTCAATTCGAACCAGTATTTCCTGAGATTAGCGCGTTTAAACAAACAAACTCTCTCCTTACTACAAACGATTTATCTTTAGTCTAGGTTTAAACCATTGAGTCAGATTTTGTATTTTGAACCCTATTCTCACCTACCTTCAATTTGGGTCTGCGGTCGGCGAGTAAGGGTAGCTCGCCGCCCGACCAGAACCAGGCCCGAGCGTACGGCGCGTAGCGTTCCGTTCCTGAAAGAGCCAATAGACCACCACAGACGGGGCCCTATAGGGCTGATGTTCAGCCGGGGTTGCGGGGTAAGCGCAATGAGGCACCGCGACCTCGGCCCAGAGCAGGAGAAGGAACAGGGGGGTTTTTAGTCAGTAAGACTCTGACACCCTGAGAAGTCATTTGATGATTTTCCCCTCTCAAAAAAAAACCTATCTTCAATTTGAAGTACAAAAACTGGCTCAATTGTTTAGGCCTATACTAAATAATACTCTAGGCCGTTTAGTTTTATAATATTAGTATACTTAGATTATGTTTATTTGTCCCCAGGATGTAATGGTGGTAGGGGAACCATCTCTAATGGGCGGAGAGTTCGGAGATGAGGATGAGCGTCTCATAACGAGACTGGAGAACACCCAGTACGAGGGAGCTGACGACTGGAGCGCCCCTCCCCCTGCCTCGCCAGCCAAGACTCCGCCCAATCACTGACATCCTCACCTGCCACCCTGCCATCTTACACCCTGACCGTACACCACTCTGTAACCTAGGATAGGTTTTTTATATGTCTAGATCTCTAGAACTTCCTTTTTTGCAACATTCCCATACAAAACTAGCTAATATCTATACAAAATTTGCCTATAAATCTAATATATAAAAAAATTGGACTCATACTTTCAAAGATTTAAGCGTTAAAACTCTCAGTTTATTGTATTTATATTAATTTTATTTACAGTAGGATTTTCTAATTATGGGTTTTAAATATTTTAAAATTATGGATCTCAAACAAAAGTTCTTCCATATATTCTGCTCAAATTGCATGGATTTGGTGAGTTCCACTGCATGCAACATAATATTATTGTCTTAAGTTTTTTGACTATAGACAGAATCTTAAAAGTCTATTCTCTACTAGTGCTGGTCGCCTGTAAGAGTCTTCACAGCCCGGATTCCCATATAAACTGAAGTCAAGAACTACTAAACAGAATTTATAATCAACCAGCGATCCGACCCAGCTTCGCACGGGTGCAATTCTGATACTGGATTTCTCCCCTATTCAATGGATGTTATTATACATATAAACCTTCCTCTTCAATCACTCTATCTATTAAAAACTTTATCAAAATCCGTTGCGGACTACACTAGGATTTTCTCCTGTGTCGTGGGTGCGGTTACAAACATACAATTTCATATACACATTACACCCAGACCCGGAACCACAATTTGTGGATCACACAAAGAGTTGTTCCGTGCGGGAATCGAGCCCAGCCACCGCACCAACCGTGCAGTCCTAATATGGCAGATTTACAATAAGAATTATAGGGACAGAGAAAGCGACTTTGTTTTATACTATACTTTAAAGTGACTAGACATATAAAAAATCTAGTCCTACCCTTGTTCTAGACTTTGATTCAGTCAGGCAAGGTTATTAAAAGGTTATAGTTTGTATGTGATTTGTTAGTTGGTGTTACACCACTGTCTTTACCCAACAGGCGTTGGCGTGATGATATAAGCTATTATAGTCCGATAAAACTGTTCCAATGAAAGAGATGGAAGTATGTGAGAAAGGGATGCAGAGATTGTTCGACAATTTTGAATGTCAGCGGTAGAAAATGTTCTCAATAACTTTAAAAGATGTTTTTCAATAGTCAGATAAATCTTGTCTGAGGAATAAAATTGTTGCTGTCACTGTCTTATACAAACATTTTGACGCGACAGCATCATAATTATTCCCCAGCTAACTTTTATCTAACCATTGAAAAATCAGCCTTAAAAACATGTGCATACAATTGTAAAAAGTTATTGTTGTACTATTAAATATTAATTTTAAAAGCAACTAGCTGGTCCAGCAAACATTGTTTTGCAAAATTATTTCGAAAAAAATGTAAAGGGTGAATACTTATCAAGGGTATGAAAAATAGTCAGTAGCCATATCTTAGATCTACTGAATATACATTTAAAATTTGGTGTAAATCAGTAAAGCTGTTCTCGAGGTATAAGGTAACTGACATTGTGACACGAGAAATTTAATCTAAGATAGAAAAATCTAATGAAAATGATTTTCTGAGTTCATAATTCTGTTGATGTTAGGTTTGATAGAAGAGGCAATATTCTTCAGGAGCCCTAGGGCTATGTCAATCAAAATAACTAAAAAAAAAAATACTTGTATAAACCTGTCATAGTCAATATGACAGGTTTATACAAGTATTTTTTTTAATAAATCCATGTTAATATCGATGGAAATACTCTAGAAGCCTTTTTTTGTCTGGGGAAAATCATCAAATTACTTCTCCCGCCCAGGGTTAGGCGAGGGAGAATGTCAGACTTTACTAAAAACACCCCCCGTTTCTTCTCCTGCTCTGGGCAGAGGCCGCGGTGACTCATTGCGCTTAACACGCATCCCCGGCTGAACATCAGCCCTATAGGGCCCGTCTAATAATGTAGAAGTCTTAGAAGTATTATTGGTACCTTTAAGCAAAATTGCTTAACTTCAGTCCAAAACCCTAGGCGTTTTTTATACAAAACGCTTTAAAATCACTGTGCTGAGTTCAAACGAGGTCGCGCGGGGCCTCGCCGCTAACAGCTGATCGGGCGACGCGGCGGGGGCGCCAAGTTTGTTATAAGTACTTAGTAATGAGAATAGAAAAAAAGTTCATCATCATCATCATCATCATCATCATCATCATCATCATCATCATCAGCCTATAAGTGCCCACTGCTGAGCAAAGGCCTCTTCTCATACGGAGAAGGTTAGAGCACGACGTGTTTAAATATCAGTCAAAAAATACTTGTCTATATATTTATTCTTTAAATAACTGACGGGATGAATAGATTTTTTAATTCACTTACAAGGAAATTATTTTTTACCGCTGACATTCATATTGTAATGTATATTGTAGATAAATATGTCTTTCAAATAAGAAATATCATACGAGTGTAGGTCCAAATAGTTAAAAAAACGAAATTTACTATTTATAGAATTAAAATAATCTGTTTCACTTCATACAACCACTTTTGACCAGATACATTTAAGAGAGATGTTATTTCTATGAACTTGAGTTTGTCTGGTATTTCTATGGTGGTAGTGAATCAGCCAGAATTAACTTGTATGGCTATTCTAATACTCAAAAGCTACTCAATTTTAACACTCACCCAATAGTTCTGTTTCAAGCATAATTTTATATGTTCCATTCCACGATATCTATAGTAAACTTAAAATTGAGTAGTATTTCAGTATTCGTGAGTTATTTACGTAACTGTTTGACGTTACATTGTCTTCTAGCGTGATTTTTCGCGTATTTACGGACCCCGGTCCCAGCTCGAAATCGTTCGAGTAATCCCCAAACAGTTTCGTGACTAAACCCGTGCAAGTTGATTAATGAAAGAGAAAAGTTCACTTTTATTTGTTTATTATTACAATATTGTTAATTATTTATTTTAACAAAAATCTTTTCCGAGTATAATGAAATGCAGTACTTTGAATTTTTTAAATTAAGCGTTTTATATATCGCATGTTTAATAGAAAACAGAACTAACTCACAAAAAAGGCAATCAAAATTGAACCTTATTGATGAGACATTGTTTTTAAGATTCCAATTTTCGTTTATTGAATTTGAATTTTTTCTATTAAGCATGCGATATATAATGTTTTAAGAAAATTAATATTGATTGAGTACGAAAACAGAGAAAAAATTATCATACCCATTATATAGATGGATGACAGTCGACTTAACGTGTGATTTTCGCGAAACTTTCTGAAACTGGAATTATTTTTCGCCGATACGACCTTAAAACCTTCAAGAAACGAGCGTACTCCGTCTTAATAGACCGGCAACGCGCCTGTGACTCCTCTGGTTTTTCAGGTGTCCATGGGCCGCGCTGATTACTTACCATCAGGAAATCCGCCTGTTCGATGGCATACAAAAACAGAGCGACCTCACTCACACGGCGAAACAACGCTGTGGTTGTTTCACGCCGGTTTTCTGTGAGGCCGTGGTATCACTCCGGTCGTCCGGTCATTCGTGCCGAAGCATGATTCTCCCAAACTGTACTAAATCAATGTTTATTTTCTTACTGAGGTTTCTAATAATTTCGTTCATAAAGAAAAAATAATTTGTTACCTTTTCTGGGTATTAATTAAATACGGTAGTTTCCAACTAGTCAGATTCAATACTTTTATCCAAATGTCAAAAACGATACTTTTCTAGGAAATTTGTATGAAACTCCAAATTATGTCATAGTATTTTTGCGCCAAATAGCTTAATTATTTCTTAAAGATAAGCTAAAAAATATCGAAAATTTTGTGTATAAACAGATCGATGATGATGAAAAGTAACTATAGTTATTTTTCAATATTTTATTGTATTGAAACGTCGAATTAATTTATTTTTGACCTAGGAAACTACCCAATTTTCATTAAATTGTTTTTTTTTTCAATTTTATTGTGAAAATTTGACATTTTATTTCTGTTTATATTAATTTCTTCTTATTTTCCAATAGTCAGATAATTATCTGAGGAATAAAATTGTTGCTGTCACTGTCATAAACAAACATTCTGACGCGACAACATCATAATTATTCCGCAGGTAAATTTTATATAACCATTGAAAAATCAGCACTTAGGGATATAAATTGTATGTTACTTCTGAGAAATCTTTCTTTCCTTTTGAGAAAGAATTTTTCAAATCTGTCATAGAATCATACTTTTTTATCTATACTTATATTAAAAAAAGGAAAAATTTAACTGTTTTGTTTGTTAGTTTGTATCGAATTGACTACGAAACTGCTTGACAGATTTGAATAATTCCTTTACTTAGGGAAGCTACAATATCCCCTGTGATTAGGCTATATATTTCGCGAGTGACGCCGCGGTAAACAGCTAGTTTATATAATTGTATTGTTGTTTAAAAAGGCTATTAATCAATTAATTAATTAAAATTACATTTTGAAAATGTCAAATTTTCACATTAATTTAAATCAATGAATGTATTCAAAGTACCAGGACCGCATACATATTGAGGAGATTGTAATAATGTTGTTAAAAGCGTTCAAGACTCAGAAATGAACGTGTTTTTAGAAAAATCAACCTTAAAACCTAGACATTAAGACTTGTTTCACATTTTGTTACTATTTATGTTATTCCAAAAGTGAACTTTATACAATTAAATATAGAATTGATATTTCTTCAGCGTGAATGCATTGGAACAAATGATTTTGGACTGTAATTTATGTATAATAAAGTTGAGAGTGGCTTGCGGAGCGGTTGTCAGGAGGTTAAGCGATGACACACGGAATAATGAACGGGCACACACGGAAAAATGTCAACAAAGTATAAATAAATCAATAAATATAGGCCTTTATGGATAAATTATCATTATGGCTTTTATTTTTTTTTATTCCTTTCCCTTAAAAATCCTGTCTTGGGTGTCTTTTATCTAGCCTACTTGGTCGATGGAGGTTGCGCCAAATATTTTTCTATCGGCTATTTAAGAGTTCTAGATCGCTCTCTAGCCGCCTGGGCAACGCCTGGTAATGTAGGGAGAATAGGGTCAGTGCGATAAAGCAAAATTAATAGAAGGAAACAGACAAATTATCAATGATCCGCTGGTTTTCGATTGCACGCCACTGAGCTCGATGTTCAGCTCTTCTCATCCAACCACTGCCAGCCTTACGGATATCGTCAGTCCACCTATCTGGAGGGCCGCCCTACACTACGTTTGCCTAGACGTGTTCTCCACTCAGAACACGTCTACCCCAACGGTCATCGGCATAGAGAAAAATTTTGCATAAAAAGAATACATATACATATACTACTCAAATTATTAAAAAACTAGCTACTCTCGCGCGGTTTCACCCGCTGCTCTGCTCCATTTGATCGTAGTTCAGCCCATAGCACTCAGGATCATTGTAGCTACCTATCAGTGAAAGAATTTTTGGCAATCCGACCAGCGGTTCCAAGGATTAGCCCCTACATACAAAATTACAATTTTTAGCTCTTTATAATATTAGTATAGATAAAATAAATACACATATTCTATAGAAAAATATAAAGCGATAACTTTTACACAACTGCACACATACGCATGAGTCATCATCATCAGCCGGAAGACGTCCTCTACAGAACAAAGGCTTCCCCCATAGTCCTCCTCGTTGAACGACAACTCGCCACCTGCATCCATTGGCTCCCCGATGACGTCGGTCCACCTAGCGGGAGACCTGCCCACACTACGTTTTCCGGTCCTTGGTCGCCACTCAAGTACTTTCCGGGCCCATCGGTGGTCAGTCCTACGAGTGATTTTACGAGCTACCTATATCGGTAACTTTGGTTTTTTGGCGAATTTTTACATTTAGTATTTTGTCGTGTAAAGAGTACCCGAGCATAGTTCGCTCCATCGCTCATAAATACATACTATACACGTATGCAAAGATAGCTTATAAAGAAGATTATTCTACCAAAGTTTCCTGCGAACTCCAGGTTTGAAAGTGGACTTCCTGGTTTCCATGGCAGTCCATGTGTGGTCAGTGAAAAAGATGTGTAGAGCAGAGGTTTTTAGTACTCCAAATAGCGATACTGAAAATAAGAAGTTACGAAGGGGTTGTTAATATACGAAAAGTGAAAGCCAAATCAGTTGTTTCAATTAGACCATTACAGGCACTTTTGAACGCCAAACTAAGATTTTAAATAACAACTGACAATCTGTCGGTCAGTCCTATAACACTAATATTCAGTCAAAGTATCTGCCTAACGCAAAAAGAGGTTTGACGCTGGACTGTCAGCATCAAACCTCTTTTTCAATCAATTGTTAACGAACATGACACGTAGACTCATGCCACCTGTACCGCCCAACTCAACCATATGTACGTATTATAGGGAATCGAGATATCCAATGAGACCTTTAAGAGAGCATGACAACATAAACAGGGGGGTTTTTATCCAGTAAGAATCTGACACTCCCTCCAGCCCGGCCCTGGGCGGGAGAAGACATTTGGTGATTTTCCCCTCACAAAAAAAAACATGAGCATGTAACTCCTCCGTCGTTGCGGGTGTGCATGGGCGATTACCATCAGGTAATCCGTGTGCTCCTATCACATAAAAAAACAACTTTTAAGGTGTTAAATGGGCGCAAGTCTGCGGACGGCTAAGGGTAGCCCGTCGTCCAATTAGAACCAGAGCCAAGCATACGGCCCATGACCGCCTCAGAGCATGCGGCTCATGACCGACTCGCCTCCACCGAGTCAATCGGTCCTCGATCAGGAGAAGGAACGGGGTGGCTTTTACTCAGTAAGACTCTTCCTCTCGCCCCACCCAGTTCGGGAAAAGATTTTTGATGATTTCGCTCCTCAAAACAAGAAGTTTAACGTGACGTGTTAGTCTTAATCTAATCTATGCTTGAAAACTTTTAATTATTGACACAATCTTTAAAAAGTGTACATCTATATAGTAGGTTAGATAGAGTAGGATAGGTAGAGTAGGGTAGGTAGAGTAGGATAGGTAGAGTAGGGTAGGTAGAGTAGGGTAGGTAGAGTAGGGTAGGTTGAGTAGGGTAGGTAGAGTAGGGTAGGTAGAGTAGGGTAGGTAATAAAATTACGGGAGCGACGCCGCGGGTAAGAGCTAGTTTATTATAATAACGACCTGCAACGACGAGTAAGAGTAGTTCGCCTGGCGTACCTACGGAGCGTAGTGCTCCGTGCACGTCTCAAACTGCCAACAGAACAGACCATCACAGATGGGCCCAATAGGGCTGATATTTAGCTGCTGATGTGTATCGCAGCCCGACCTCAAGCAGAGGAAAGACCGGGTGCTTTTTTTGAGAAGTAAGAATCTGACAGGAAATATACCCATGAATACTTCAAGATTACAATGAGCGATCTCGGTCCAGAGTAACGAACAGCAAAAAATCTAAACGTGAAAATCAGTCCTAGGCTAACCTATGCTTGGAAATTATAAGTTTTCATTACAATCTTTAAAAAATGGGCTTTCATTTCAAGTCAAGTTTATACTCACCCCATTCATCTTTCTTTCTTTCTTTTTTTTTTGAATTAAAAAAACGTTGCCCCACATTAGTATTTTCTCCTGTGTCGTGGGTGCTGTTACAAACATACAATTTCACATACACATGACACCCAGACCCGGAACAACAATTTGTGGATCACACAAAGAGATGTTCCGTGCGGGAATCGAACCCGCGACACGTTGCACGGCAGCCAGTTGCCCAGCCACCGCACCAACCGTGCAGTCATAATTCGTGAATACATCTCTAAAATTGGGTCTCTTTAGAGGGCGAGAGATAATGTTTCATACATCACAAAAGCAATAAAACTACAAAAACCTTACTAAAACATTTATTACACTAAAAACTACTAACTAGGTATAAAAATACAATCACTCTGCCGTTTTCAATTCTTCATTTTTACCCAATTTCTGTGCTTCGAACATCAACCTAAGTTGTTCAGTCGCTGTCATGGGTAATCTATCATTGGCACCGAAAGTCTGACTAGGTAACTGGGCAGTATTGAGCGCTGGATTCTTGAAGGTGAACGGAGTCCAAGGGCCTTGGATGGAAGGATGATCAGTATACTGGTATTTCCTGAGCCTCGTGGACGAATTGTCTCCTTGTTGAGTCCGGAGTACATCAATCCATTTGATGATTTCTGAGTGAGTTTTATTGTGCATGTTCATCCATACTCTGTCTCCGTTTACTGTGAAGTAAGAAATATATTAAAGATAAACTTCCGCCTGCATATTCGCACGTGTATAAAACTAATGTAAAAACAGCTCCGTATAAAGCCATAGGTCGCCTAAAATATTGGGCATCAAGAATCAAGAATCAAGAATCAGATTGAGCATCCGGAAATCTCACTCACAAGTCAACAACAATGTGAGTCTTGTTTCACGACGGTATTCTGCGAGGCCGTGGTCTAGCCGGCCCATTTGTGCCGAAGCATAGCTCTCTCACATTTAAAATGATTATGACTTACAATATTCCGCAACAACGACGGGTCCACGATGTCTGCGAGGCTTCAAGTACACAACTACTCCGGGATTCTCTTTAGCAAAATCCACTAGATCTTGTTCTATGTAATCTCTGGAATATAACAAGAACATATTTAAGTTAGTAGTGTCAATGATAACGCCAGTGCAGTGGCTAAATACCCTTACTAAATAAACAATGTCCGGACCAAAGCGAGGATTGAATAAGGGGTTGACAAGTTAGGCAAGGATGTGCAAAATTTAGTATCAATTCTAAACTATTAACTTTATCAGTAGTAGAGACTTTTATATGTACCATATAGTATCTGGATTTTGTAAGTTGATAGAATGCACATCTTAACTAGTGGATGTTTTGTGGCTGGCATGGTCATAGCTACTGTTGTATTGTCTATGATTAGTAATACTAATCAGTGTCACACTATTTTTTTTTTTTTTTTTTTTTTTGTGAGGGGAAAATCATCAAATGACTTCTCCCGCCCAGGGCCGGGCAGGAGGGAGTGTCAGACTCTTACTGACTAAAAACCCCCCTGTTCCTTCTCCTGCTCTGTGCCGAGGTCGCGGTACCTTATTGCGCTTACCCCGCAACCCCGGCAGTGTCACACTATAATACGGTAGTTTTCAACTAGTCAAATTCAATACTTTTATCCAAACGTCAAAAACGCTACTTTTCTATGAAATTTGTATGAAAAACTGAGGTATGACGTTATATCTTTTTTGCGTCAAATAGCTTACTTATTTCTTAATAATTAGCTGAAAAAAATCTAAAAATTTGTGTATCGATCGATTGATGAATAAAAGTATAGTTATTTTTCAATATTTTATTGTATTGAAACGTCGAAATAATTTATTTTTGACCTAGGAAACTACCCAATTGTCAATGTCGTCATATCACTATAAAGAGCGAGTGTCGGCCATTGACAATGTAACTCTGGTGCAGTGAGCTGCAGGACTGTGTACTGTATAATTAAAGTCAAGTATCCAAGTCTTTCAATCATATTACATCTACCATAATAAAATTAACATTTCAAAACTAACATGATGTGGAAACAGAAATAACATTTCTTTTTTTTCGTATCCTCAGTTCAACAAATGTTTTTTTAAACCTTCATTTTTGAGGCACAAGATAAAGATTAAAAAATATCGCACATTGATAAGAAGACCGTCACTATACGAAAAATGATGCTTTTCTGTTAGGAGTGCCATCTCTTAGCGCGCAAAGATACTATTTTTTTGCAAAAACACCTGTCATTGTAACTATAATATTCATCGGTAGATGGCGTTAGTGTCGAACTGCTTTATCGACAATGTTGAGTCGATCTGTTATGACAGACCGCCATTTTTTCATTCGTGACTGTGAAGTTAACAAAAACGGTTTCATCTAGTGTATTCCATAGTGACATTTTCTGGTTAAAGGCGATTTGGATTGACCATATTTTGTAAGTATGAATTAACTTTAATACGAATACCGTCACATTTTGATAAGTGTCGTGTATTATGCTATATTATTTTGTAAAAATTGCTATGTTGGGACGACATACTGTCATTTTTATTTTAGTGTCGATGTTCGTGTTACGGAATTTGAAGTATTTGTGTCGGTTATTAATTCAGGATGTCATTATTCGTTTTGTGTCATTCTTCCCTTAAGCCAAACAGAGAGTTTGTATTCAATTGGAACAACATACTGACATTTTTTATTTAGTGTCGCTCTTCGTGTTACGGAATTTAAAGTATTTGAGTCGATTATTGATTCAGGATGTCATTATTCGTTTAGTGTCATTCTTCCCTTAAGCCAAACAGAGGGTTTGTATTCAATTGGAACAACATACTGACATTTTTTATTTAGTGTCGCTCTTCGTGTTACGGAATTTAAAGTATTTGAGTCGATTATTGATTCAGGATGTCATTATTCGTTTAGTGTCATTCTTCCCTTAAGCCAAACAGAGGGTTTGTATTCAATTGGAACAACATACTGACATTTTTTATTTAGTGTCACTCTTCGCGTTACAGAATTTGAAACATTTGAGTTGATGATTAATTCAGGATGTCATATTTTTTTTTTTGTGTCATTCTTCCTTTTAAGCCAAATAGCAAGCACGGAAAATAAAACTGAAATCAACAAAGAATTTTGTTTAGAGTCGTTATTAATTGGGATATTTTAATGTTGGTTTTGGTTATTCAAATAATTGAATGCTTCTAAAGTCAATTAATTAAATGATCATAGTAAAAACGTACATCTATATTAGTAATTACTAGTGTTCGTTTTAGTAATTTTGACCATAATTTTTCAGACTTAAAATGCCTTTACAAAATGCGAGAATAAACAAACTCAAGAATATTTCTAAAAGACTGCTTGAAGACACACAAGATGATAAAGAAGAATTCAAAAAAAGACCGTGTCATGGTATCCAGAATGAACCTGTTCATTTAGAAAGCGCAAATACACCAACGACACACCAGACCTCCAAAAATCATTGTGAATCAACTCGCAATGAAGACGACGTTAACCAGAATGCAAATGAAGATATTTCTAGCCACAATCTTGGATTTAATATTGTGCCTTCCCAAGAAATCACATCTAAAGATCACCAGAAAGCTGAACAGGTTTCTTATTACCTTACCTAAAACAGTAGGAGATTCTTACCTTATAATATCAAACTAAGAATACTATTCAGAATACACTACTTACCTTACCACTATTTGAAACAATAAGCGGTTAATAACTAAAAAAGCTTATTGTCTTTTCCTTGTTCTTCTCCTAGTCACCCAGCTAAGAATATCACTGCATGAGTTATGAGATGCGTTTCTTTTACTTATTGTGTTATTTAAAATAATTACTTATTTTAGGAGGAACCCCTGCATGTGGATGAAAACTTGCCTCCAAATGAACAACTTCATGTAGAAAGAAGAAATTCCAGGTCATCTACCTCCAGTCGTGCATCTCCACGTGATTTTTCACCTGCTTCAGACGATGACCCAAGTTACTTACCATTAAAACCATCCACTGCAAACCGTCGACGATCAGACTCTTCTTCTTCTTCAGACTCATCATCGAGCAATTCTTCGTCTAGTTCCTCTTCCTCGTCAAGTTCTTCGTCTTCGTCGAGTTCTTCTTCTGAATGTTCTTCGACGAGAAATCACCAGTGTCCATCGTTGGCGACATTGGCTTCTGCCGCTGTAGACAAAATCTCTACAATCCAACCTACTACTATCAGAAATGACTGCAATGAAGATGGGCAAGGTACTGTCACGCATTCCTTAGAATCTAATAATCTAACGTCAGTTCCTGGGCTAGCCAGTGTTAACATATTGAACCCTGTTGTAGAAGAAGGCAATAGGAATAGTCGAAAAAAAATCAGACGAATTAATAAAAAAAGGGCAGCTCAGATTCGAAGAAATCGAGGACAATCATACGTATCTACATCATCAAAAATTGTTGCAGAAAGGGTGATGAGAGGACCCTGTAATGAAAAGTGTCGGCTTAAATGTCGTGATATTATTGCTGAAGATGACCGCAGAAGATTATTTGACTCGTTTTGGAATCTGGGCTCACTAACACGTCAAAGAGATTATATAGCGAATAATTTAGTTAACGTATTTCCTAAGTATCAGTACAAAAGACTTAATAGCAGCAGAAAACCAAAGAATGCATTTCATTTCGAGATAAATGGTAAAAAAAACAGAGTGTGCAAAATATTTTTTAAAAATACTCTTGGAATTGGTGATCGACCTATTAGAACAGTGATAGACAAGAAGAACGAGCAAGGTATAGTGGACCCTGAACAAAGGGGCAAACACAGTAATAAAAAAACCATTCCTGAAGATAATTTAATTGAAGTGCGACGTCACATCAATAGTATACCTCGTATAGAAAGTCACTATCTACGAAGACAAACTTCGAGAGAATTTATCGACGGAGGAAAGACGCTTGCTGATTTATACAGAGATTATAAAGCTGATTGCATTGAAAAAAATATCGAATTTGTAAAAATACATATTTATAGAAAAGTTTTTAATACTGAGTTTAACATTAGTTTTTTTATACCTAAAAAAGATCAGTGTGATCTTTGCACAGCTTACAGGATTGCCGATGTAAAAGAAAATTTGGAAGATAAATATCAAGATCATTTAAAAGAAAAGGATGAAAGTAGAATAGAGAAGGAAAATGATAAGAAAATGAGTAATTGCATTGTGTCTTGTTATGACTTGCAGGCAGTTATGACTTTGCCTAAAGGAGAAATATCAATCTTTTACTATAAAAGTAAATTGAATTGTTTGAATTTCACTATTTCTGAACTGGGAAAAGATCACACTGAATGCTTTTTTTGGACAGAAGTAGAAGGTCAAAGAGGTGTTAATGAAATTGGGACGTGTGTGTTTAAATATTTAGAGAAAATGTCCTTATTACATCCAGATTTCGATTTTATTTTCTATTCTGATAATTGTTGTGGGCAACAAAAAAATCAATTCATGTTATCTCTTTATTTGTATGCAGTAAAAACTTTGCCAATAAAATCTATAACCCACAAATTCCTAATCAAAGGTCACACACAAAATGAGGGTGATGCAGTGCATTCAACAATTGAGAGAGAAGTAAAAAAAATGTTAAGATCTGGCCCTATTTATGTTCCTGACCAGTACATTGCAGCAATAAAAAACGCACGAAAAAAAGGAAACGCATACAATGTTAATCTGATGAGCCATAGTGATTTTTACGATATTAAATGTTTATGTGAGAATATTTTTTCCAAGAATACGGAAGGAGAAAAAGTTAAGATAGGTGATATTAAAATCATTAAAATGATGAAAGATTTAAATGAGTCTGCTACAGTCAAAATATTTTATAAGAAATCTTACTTAGAACAGAACTTTAAAGAGATTAGACTAGAAGCTAATAGGGTAGCTACTCGTAGGCAACAGGCAGGTAATAGGTACGAAGTTCCTAATGCCAACAATCTATTGAAACCTCTTTATGCAGCTAAGCTTCCTTTGGCTGAAAGAAAGAAAAACGACATCAAATCGTTGATTGATCAAAATCTCATTCCTAATTATTACGTTTCTTCTTATTTTGATAGAATCCTTTAAGAATAAGTTAATAAATCTGATACGGTAATTTTCTTGATCTCAATTATTACTAAGTGCAAGTTAATTAAACATGATTGTGATATTACGTTATTTTCAGAGCTATTTGATTAAAAAAAGCCTTAATAAACAAAACAAGAGCCTTAATTTGAGTTTTTATCTTTAGAATGTCTAATATTTTGGATTATAATATAATTTTTATATTATCATTTTTAACACCTAAGTGTTTTGAGTCTGAAAATATTAATAAAAATGTGATTTATTTAGCTGTTGTCATCGCAAACAACTTAATGTTTGAGTAGTTTGTATTAAACTTTGCAATAAAATATTATTTCTAAATAAAAACTGATTTTTCTTTGTGTAATGTATTTTTTTCTATTGTTATTGTGTCGGTAAGTTGTCACGAAGTAGGAAATACTGAACGTTTTGATTAATGTTATAACGTCACTAAAAAAGTTTTTTTGGGAAAATCTTATTTAAAAATACTTTTTCATAAAAATAAACAATACATTCCAGTCGTGTTTAATGCTCTCTACAATAAAAACCATAACATGATATTATATTTTTTTTCTTTCTGGTGCAAAACTAGTCATTACGGTTTGGTAAAACTTAAAACGCTTCTACCGAAAAAACAGCTTTTTTGGTTAGTGTCACTCTTCTTATCAATGTGCGATATGTTAAGACATAATATATGTATACGGTAGAATAGAGTCATTACTTTTGCCTAAGCATTCAATGTTAAAGACGAAAACATTAAGTGTCAAAGTCACTTGAAGTTGAAAATCAAAAATATTTACGCTTGAGATTGTAATTGAATTTGCAATATTATGTAATTCCTATCAACTTGATACATTTCTTACTGTTATTATTCACAACTGTTGATAGAAATTATGTGCATATTAAAATATGAAACTAAAATGCATATTTTGGCTAGAAAATAGTGTATAGTGAAGTAGTAAATGCATATTTTCTAGCCAAAATATGCATTTTAGTTCTGCAGTTTGCTGGACCCACACACTCTCAAGAGACTGTTGAATATAAGCTAACCTAACTTAGCTAGACATGTATCCAATTATCTCGTTAAACACTTAAACAGTTACATATTATTCTAATGTCCACGGCTTGATAGAAAACTGGTGAGAAATAACCACAGCGTTGTGTTTCGCCGTGTGAGTGAGGTTACTGGAAGCCCAATCCTTCCCCTCCCCCAATCCCTGAATCTCCAAATCCCTTATCCCTAAAAAGTCGCCAACACACTCGTAACTCCTCTGTTGCGAGTGTCCATGGGCGGCTCTGATTGCTTACCATCAGGTAATCAGTCTGCTCGTTTGCCGACCTTTTACATAAAAAAAAATGTACATTATATAATTGTAGGTAGTTGTGATATATTTGAAATGACTCTAAACAAAAGATGAAGCTGGATTATTAAGCCAAAATTAGACCAAGTAAAAATTTTGTAAAACTCATTTCATAATTTTTTTGACTTGCTATTTTCTCCTATGGGATAAGCATGTGAGGCTGTAGTAATTTTTAGTTAAGTCGAAAATACACAGTATTGCTGTCACAAGCTCCAACACACTTAACGGTACGCATATTGAGATGGAATTATTCCAGATGAGCGGACCCATTCATGTTAAAGCATTGCTCTCACACAACTTAAAAACAAAAGTTTTATAAAGTTTTGTAAAATCTCTTTTACGAACCAAGTTCGTTACAGAGGTTTTAAGTTAAGATAGGTTATTCATATTCCTTTAGAAAGCTAACGTCATGCAGTTTAATTAGAACAAGAATGAATTGGTTCAATGGGACATTTTACAATTAAAAATAAATAAAGGTTCTGCATGTAAAGTAAAGTTTATCGCTTCACCAGACGTAATTTTATGATAAATTGCATGTAAATCTGATTATTATGAAACTGTAATCAAAGTATAATATCAAATTACCTTAGTCCTCGGCTCGATCCATGGGATTTACAGAATTTTAACACAATTCTTTGTAATTGACACACATAGCGTCCCACACCGTTCTGCAATGGAGCCCGGACGAAGCCAGGTTTCAGAAACATGTTTTTGGCCGACATTTTCAGGAATTTCCCTTAAATATTTGCTGATTTTCGTAATATTGTTTGCTCAGTTTTAAGGTTATATGGAGCAAATGTTGTGACATTAGACATTGACAGCTGTCTAGTGTCTACTAATAAAAACGTTTCGTTTCACATGGGAGCAGTAAAAATGCTCAACTTTATTTTGTTTTTAGAATTATTTTAACTATTCCATTAAAATTTGTTAAATAATATCTGTGATTGAGTTTTTTAACTTGATCTGGTTCGAGCTCTAGTGATAAGTGGTTAGCTAATTCTTATAGTATAATGGAAGTTACATTTCCTTAGTGCTTTTTTTAAAGATCAAATGGCTTACTCTCCCCAGGATGAGGCGAGAAGAAGTGTCACTGTTATTACTGAATAAACCCCCATTCCTTCTTGTTATTCTTCTGCTTCAGGCCGAGGTCGCACATCCGAATAATCCGCGGATATCGCACGATCTCCGGGGAGGCGGCGAACCTCCTTGCCGGATCACCGCCATGGGATCTGGAAGCGAAGGCGCTCGCGCGCGTCTACAGTTTGCGCACAGACGCGCGTCGCCGGGGCGAGGATCCTCTGCCGCGCCAAATTAGTGCGTGGCGGAATGAGCTCCGGCGAGATCTCATGGCTGAGTGGAAGCAGCGACTGTCGCAACCGAGGGCCGGGCACGCTACTATAGCAGCGGTAAGACCCCTCTTTGAGGAGTGGCTTGAGAGACGCCACGGCGTCCTCACCTTCCGCCTGACGCAGGTGCTTACCGGGCACGGCAGCTTTGGTAGGTTCCTGTTTCGGATCCAGCGGGAGGAAACGCCCGAGTGTCGTCATTGTGCAGATCACCTGGAGGACACGGTGGAGCATACGGTGGCGGAGTGCCCTGCTTGGGCTGAGCACCGCCGTGTTCTCAGGGAAGTGATCGGCGGCGGCGACCTCTCGCGCCCGGCCTTAATCGAGGCCATGGTGCAGCGTGAGAGGAACTGGGAAGCTATCTCCTCCTTCTGCGAAGCAGGTTTGCTCGCAAAGGAGGAGGCGGAGCGCGTGAGGGAACTATCCTCCTCGCGCCCCAGCCGCCGCAGAAGGCGACATTCCGGACGTCGGGGACCAAGTTATGATCTCCGGCCACCGTAAGCGCGGGTCTGCGGACGGCGAGTAAGGGTAGCTCGCCGCCCGACCAGAACCGGACCCAAGCGTACGGCGCGTAGCGTTCCGCGCGCGCCTCAAAGAGCCAATAGACCACCACAGTCGGGGCCCTAAAGGGCTGATGTTTAGCCGGGGCTGCGGGGTAAGCGCAATGAGGCACCGTGACCTCGGCCCAGAGCAGGAGAAGGAACGGGGGGGTTTTTAGTCAGTAAGAGTCTGACACTCTCTCTCGCCTTACCCTGGGCGGGAGAAGTCATTGGATGAAAAAAAAAAAAAAAAAAAAAAGGTTGAGGTCGCACGCCCGGTACCTCATTGCGCTTAATTCGCAACCCCGACTGAACAAAGGTGGTCTACTGACCCCACAGACTAGCGTGAGGTATCCTTGCTCGCCGTCCGCAGACTAGCGTGAGGTGGTTAGTTCCCTCCCGCATTCTTCTTTGCAAGCATTACTGCTTCGCCAAATGAGAAGACGGCTTCCCCGTTCCCGGCCTTAGTCGAGACTTAGGCCGGATGCGAGAAGATCGGGGCTGATGACGTCGATATTCGCCGCCGCTGATAACGCCCCTGAGGACACAGTGGTGCTCAGCAAAAGCAAGACACACTGCGACCATAATTATGCCATTGTATCCGCCGGATGGTCCTCACAATGAACGTTTCTTCAGTGCTTGTATCACAAATGTCTGTCTGTATTACTAGTGATCTTTAGTGATGACAAAGTAGGTAATAAAAAACGCAAAACAATATTTTCAAAATATTTATTACAAAAAATCATATATGTACACAGTCAACGATTAAATACAGCTTTTATATAAATGTTAAGATAATGCATTTTCATTGCACATAACCATTCATCTTAAATATCGATTTATTACGAAGTAAAGATTCCTATACACTCGACGACATTAATTTTTTATAGTAGGCAGAATCTAGAATAGCCTTTTCTAAAAAAAAGTACCTATATGGTGGCTCATTGTAAATTCCTCCTTTTTTTCTTACACACAGTCATTTATTTCTATATCTATAAAATATTGTTTCAAAATATTTATTTAAGTTTCTTTTACTTTCAGTAACGAATAATTTGACACATTTTTCATATGAAAAATGATACCTAAATACGTAATATAAAGATTGTGAAACAAATACTGAGGGACAAATATTTTGGACCTTATTTATTTAGAGTCGGTATCCTTAAAATCTGAGTTTGTTTTGAGTATTGAATTTATTATTTTAATTAGTTGTTAAGATAGGCGATACTTTATCAAATGTATCGTATGATTTTTCTGCAGGAAAATGTGAAAAAAAGCTATTTCTTTGGACTTAAATATAAAATTATTGTAATCGCCATTGAAATGGACGACAGACAACAGTTAATATTTTTTCATAACAAAAATGGCAAATTATAAATATTGACGTTTCACTGTCAATACTTTTTTTTTTGTTTTGTTTCAGTGAGACATTAATGTAAAGTATTTTTTATTTAGATGTTATGTTTTACATTAAAAATAATATTAATAAAGAGTATTATTAAAATCTACATACATATTGAATATTATTATTGCACTTATATTATTAAATTAAATTAATTTAATAGTATACATTTAATACCCTTTCTCTTCGGTATTAGAGGCGAATTAACAAAAGAGTATAAAGTATTAAAAACATCTTTTAGTCAGTCGAGTCGAGTAAACTTGAATATTTCAGTTTTATTTTTTGTTTTTTCTGTGTATTAAGTGTTATCGTCGTGGAGGCCCGGAGGTTACGGCGCCCGCTTCTCATGCATGAGGGTGTTCGAAACCTGGGAACACACCTATGTGACTTTTTCCGAGTTATATGTACTTTATATGATTATTTAGACACCACTGACATACGGTGAAGGTAAACATCGTGAGGAAACCTGGACTTGTAATTTCTAATTATAAGTTTCTAATCGCCAACCCACATTGAGCAAGCTTGGTAATTAATGCGCAAAACTTCTCCGAGTGAGAAGAGGCCTGTGCTCAGCAGTGGTCACTTATAGGCTGATGATGATGATGATGAAGCGTTAAAAATCACTCCAAATCAAGCTATTCCCTTTTTCCTTCTCACTTATGGATTAGACGCAGGTAAAATGCAAAGAAGCATAGCCATTTGGTGGCTTTATATCAAGAGTAATCATTTCTTGATATTTGTAAAATTTCTGAACATAAATGTCGACTGACTGTCAAGAAATTATAATTGAGAATCATTTTCTAGTACTAATAAGTTTTAAATAATACATTGGCTAAGATGTCTGGTCATTTTTAGATATGGCGACACGATTTTGGTTAAAGAGAAAATGTCATATTTCAGTTTTAAGTCTGTAAATAAGAAACTTAGTCAAGGTCGTTGGTAGCCACTGGATGCAGGCTACTTCTAACCAGTTGATATGAAAGCCACTGGGAAGCCTTCTATGATGTTGTGTACTACATAGTATAAAACAGAGTAACAGAGCCCACTGTCTGTCCCTATGTATGCTTAGATCTTTGAAACTACGCGGCAGATTTTGATGCGGTTTTTTTAAAAAGATAGAATAAGTTATTACGTTTGGATCTAGTGATGAATAAATTCGCCATCTAAGCTTTGGATTACATTGAATCAAATTTTACTGAATAAGAATAAGGGCAGTTTTATTGTTGTATCGTAAAACCTGAAGAAAACATTATAGATTTTTCTCTTAAAATGAAATCATACCTTAACAAACAAAAAATAAGATTTAAAATCACCATGTACACTTGAAAACATTAATTTTATTAATCTTTATTCCTCTCTTCCAATTGTTTTATTCTAACTGGTACTTGGACCGCTGGTAGGTCCACGCTTTTGGCCCTTGGACGACCTCCTTGAAGTTCTACGGGAGTGAGACGAGCTCGACTGAAGTCGGGTAACATCGAGTTCTTCCGCACAGCTTCGGAGGTCCGAAGAGTCCCACCTGTTGATTGGTAAAAGAATAAAAAATATAATAAGATTTTCTTGTTTTGATTTCGAAAACAAATAGCGGTGTTTTAAAAATACAGATACACAACCGGCACAAAGTCAATTTTAGAATCGAGTGAGATCGAATTTAGACTGGAATGAAGATAAAATAACTATAATGTAATAATAAAAAAAAAAAAAAACAGTGATACAAAAAAAAAGTTTAATGAATAGCAAGTTTTAGGTACTATTTTAAAACAAACCGCTATTTGACTCAAAAGGCAGGTTATTAGAATTCTATTAAGTATTATTTTTCAAATTTTATTTTTTCTACAATTTCATTCCATTTATTTATTTATTTATTTAATTATAAATAATTTATGTGCTGATTTTTCAATGGTTAGATAAAAGTTACCTGGGGAAATAATTATGATGCTGTCGCGTCAGAATGTTTGTATAAGACAGTGACAGCAACAATTTTATTCCTCAGATAACATTTATGTGACTATTGAAAAATCAGTCCTATTTTAACTTTCGTTTGTTTTTAAAAGTAATTGGAAAATAGATCAGAGAAGCATAGAATTGAATTAAGGCTAGAAAATTTTGTAATTCATTTGGAAATATGTTCTAAAACAACTATAATACAGTATTGCTATCATCAAAGCTATCAAAAATAAACTCTATTTATAGAAACAGGGCACACAGGAAATCTGTTTAAAACACTATAAATACAATCGCGCAAAATTATGCTTTTGAATGACCAGTATAATTTGAACGTTGAATGTGGTGAATTGTCAAATTAAACGAGGTTTTAATAAACTGGTTAGTGTAACTTTTTTGGCTGTGGTACAATATTATTCCGCTTGTTCCACAAGCCCACAACCCCGGCTATGGTCATTACTCATCATCACTATTCTAGTCACTAGTTTACAATAAACAAAAGAAAAGAATTCCCATGTGCCTTACTTCTAAAAAAAAACATTAATCACTAAAATGTTTAATGACAACATATATTTATGTACGCTGGTATTAACGCGGCAAATTATAGGTAGCGGTAGTTTTGACCACGTCTGCTTGTGACCACGACCTGTGCAACCGGGTCGAAACGTCAAGCCAATCCGGCTTGACTTTTCGACTGCGGGGTAAGCGCAATGAGGCACCGCGACCTCGGCCCAGAGCAGTAGAAGGAACAGGGGGGTTTTAGTCAGCAAGAGTCTGACACTCCCTCCCGCCCGGACCTGGGCGGGAGAAGTAATTTGATGATTTTCCCTTCACAAAAAAAACCTACCAAGGTATTCAAATAATAATTTTCCGCGTTAATACCCGCGTAGATAAATATATATTGTTAATATGGAACGCGAAAGTTTAGAAGTTATTGTTGGACACACATATTAACATCCCTGTTTACCAAGGAGTGTCAATAGTTACAGAGACTGTAAGAGTGAGTTAACGAGCAGACCAATTGCCTGATGGTAAGCAATCATCGTCGTCAACACTCGCAACCCAGAGAAGTTACGTTTGAGTTGCGAGTATTAGGGTGTTGGAGATTTAGGGATGGTAGAGGGAAGAAAGGGAAGAATTAAGCCACTGGTTGAAAATAAATCCGAAGACGGAGAATATAGCAATTGTTCTAAGGCCTTTTTTTTGGCGAGAGAAAAATTATAAAATGATTTCTCTTGCCCAGGGTTGGGCGGGAGAGGTAATTGTGAGCATAGCTCCCTCAAGCGGTCCGCAGTTCTAAGGCTATGGATCGGACGTAAAGCAGACGCGGTCTAATAATTTCTTGGCCACTGACTTTACTGACTCTGAGCCCACCAACGGTTACAGAAGACATGGCTTCGTTACAAAACTAAGGTTAAAAATGGGGGGAGAAAAGGGGTAGTAAACATATATACATACAATACATACATACACATATACATAAAACAAAAACACACATAGAAACAGACACAAAATGGGACCGGTAGAAAATAAGAAAAGCATAAATTTTTGTGGTTTGCCTAAAGCAAGACATTCGGTGATGGCAGATTTTGTCACCAGTCCTACCCTTGCAGCAGATGACATAAAGGCCAGACTAACGGTCAACACTAAAAGTTGAGTGAGGTTACCAGAGGCCCTGATCTTCCACTTCCTTCCCGAAACCCCAAAAGGGCGGCCACGTACTTTTAAGGAGTTACGAGTGCGTCGCCGGCCTTTTAGGGATAAGGGTTTCGAATGTTTAAGGATTGGAAAGGGATTTGGCCTCCGGTAACTTCACCCACACAGCAAAACACAGCGCAAGATCCTCTACGAGGGGTTTTCTATAATTTCCTTTCCTTTGGCAGGTTGGAAATCGCAGTTTAAAGGATCAGGTTTCAGAGAACGCTGCTATTTGATCTCTGTGTAGTCCCTTAGTCGGTTTAAATCTCCCGCAAGAAGAGTAGGCGAAAATGTGGCCAATTCTCTACTCTCATTCACCACATTAAAAAAAAACTCATGCTTTGCAATTAAGGTTCATAAGGAATACTCAATTTGAACTAAAATTATCACATAAAGGGTCCAATACCTTTGTTAACCACTGTTCTCAGTATAATGGATAGCGTTGGGCAAATATTGGCTAGTTTTAATTCTCTCGCGTTCGAATTTGTACGCAGATGGCGTTAGAGGCGAGTTTAGTCTGTTAGATCTATTTGAAGTCTGATTTGGAGCAGAGATTAGGTTGTTGTTTGCTATATATCTTTTAATGTGTTCAATTCGTGTGATCCATAAATTGCGTTTCTAGGTTTGAGTGTGATCTACCAGGGTTTATAGTGTACGATGTACCATGGCCCCGGGCTGGAGTAGTAGAAGCAACAGGGTCGTTTTTAGTCAGTAAGAGTCTGACACACCATTTCAATTGGAGAAGTGTCCAACAGTCGAAGGAAACAGGGTGATGATGATGTAGATGATGATAATACTCTCTTTTGCCAAAAGAGGTGGGTGATCCCTCCTCAAAAAAAGGTCTGACTGAGCTGTGTTTGTGTAATTGGAATTTCAAAGATACAGGAGAAAAACTAAGCATCGTTATTGGTAGGTTGTGTGAATAATGTGAAATAACAATCGACAAGTCTACTGAAATATTAAGTTAGGCGTGTGAAGCCAGAGACAATCGCTGTTATAATCGCTTAAATTAACTTATTATTAGACTAACAAGACTAAACTCAAAAGTGGCTCCATCTACTAAAAGCAAAAAAAAACAGTTTCAAATTGACGAAACACAAAACAAATGCCCAACGCGAACCATTAACAGGGTGTTCAGTTCAGCCATTCCACACACTATAGCGACAAGTGCTCACCTATATACAGGGTGACATACCCTTGCGCCGGGGCTCCGCTGGCGTCTCCTCGGGGGGCGCAGTCTCGCAACCATCAGCCCTTGTGCGTGCACCTAGTTTTGGAGTGCTAAGAGAAAAAACTAGGCGTGAGTTTGTGCCAAAACAGGCTCATGCGTTAGAAATTAGCAGAAAATGAAAGTATTTTGTCACTTGTCACATACTGTAAGCCCAGACACCAGTGCAGTTAGAATTAGGCTTAAAATTATTTGAGGTGTAGTGTTGACAATGTCCAGTCAACTGATGGTAGCGAGGTTCACTGTCCAGTGACACACGTACGCTGGTATCGTTATGAGCTAATGTTGACATGTAAACAGCGACTCATGTAGTGTAGAGATTGTCCAGTCAACTGATGGTAGCGAGGTTCACTGTCCAGTGACACACGTACGCTGGTATCGTCATGAGCTAATATTGACATGTAAACAGCGACTCATGTAGTGTAGAGATTGTCCAGTCAACTGATGGTAGCGAGGTTCACTGTCCAGTGACACACGTACGCTGGTATCGTCGTGAGCTAATGTTGACATGTAAACAGCGACTCATGTAGTGTAGAGATTGTCCAGTCAACTGATGGTAGCGAGGTTCACTGTCCAGTGACACACGTACGCTGGTATCGTCATGAGCTAATGTTGACATGTAAACAGCGACTCATGTAGTGTAGAGATTGTCCAGTCAACTGATGGTAGCGAGGTTCACTGTCCAGTGACACACGTACGCTGGTATCGTCATGAGCTAATGTTGACATGTAAACAGCGACTCATGTAGTGTAGAGATTGTCCAGTCAACTGATGGTAGCGAGGTTCACTGTCCAGTGACACACGTACGCTGGTATCGTCATGAGCTAATGTTGACATGTAAACAGCGACTCATGTAGTGTAGAGATTGTCCAGTCAACTGATGGTAGCGAGGTTCACTGTCCAGTGACACACGTACGCTGGTATCGTCATGAGCTAATGTTGACATGTAAACAGCGACTCATGTAGTGTAGAGATTGTCCAGTCAACTGATGGTAGCGAGGTTCACTGTCCAGTGACACACGTACGCTGGTATCGTCATGAGCTAATGTTGACATGTAAACAGCGACTCATGTAGTGTAGAGATTGTCCAGTCAACTGATGGTAGCGAGGTTCACTGTCCAGTGACACACGTACGCTGGTATCGTCATGAGCTAATGTTGACATGTAAACAGCGACTCATGTAGTGTAGAGATTGTGCAGTAAAGAGGTAATACTTACTTTTGTTCGAACAGAATTTTGGTAAGCCTGGCGACTTCGCCCCTCAACTGATGGAGCTCCTTATCCTTTGCTTTGGATTCTTGTTCTGCAGCTCGCTCTCGAGCTGTGAGTTTTGCTCGGATGTCGTCGAAACTGTGGAAATAAATTCAAGTCATTAATAAACCGACTTTTTTAATACCTTATGTCTTTCTGAAATGATCTGTAGAGTAGATAATAAAATGGCTGCTTTTTATTCATGATCATAGAGTGTACTATTTATTCTGTGATAAATATTTAAAATATTCATGGTTATTTTGATTGGCAAATATATTTTGCGAGTAGTTGTTGTACTTTTCACTGAAACCTTAAGAACTATTGTAGTCGATAGCTTGCGAAATTATATGATTTTATCCATCGTATAGCAAAGAACTATACTTTCTATGTGACGCTTTTTTATTCGCTGCTCAGCTCCATTAGATCATAGCGTGATGTTTTATAGTATATAGCACTCAGGAACATTGTAGCTATCTATCAGTGAAAGAATTTTGGTAATCCGACCAACGGTTCCAAAGATTACCCCCTACATACAAACTTACAAATTTTACCTCTTTATACATACTAATAGTATAGACTAACTTATGGTGCCATCATATTATACGTCACACAGAATATTCAATTTAAATACCTACTTAAACATACTACATCATAAGGGATATGAAGGGACAAAGAAAGCGACTTTGTTTTATACTATGTAGTGATTTAAAAAACACTTACAGTTTTCTCAAACAGGCGCATTTTCTTGTCAAATGTTCTATTTGTTCCCTCGAAGCATTTTCCACTTGTTTTATCTTCGTAGCATCTTCTGATCTTTTCTCTCGTAGCTCTTTCTCTCTCGCCAATGCCTCTCTATCGGTTAGTCGGTTAAGGAGAGACGGTTAATGTGTGTCAATAAAATTTTTATGCTTGGCCGATAATTGGTGACTTTACCCTGCGTTTTTGATGTCGGCGACAGATGCTTTTACCCTACTGTGCTGCCATTTTATTTTAAAGGAATATTACTGGGTCAAAAAAAGGGGAAACATCTAAATGTTTATTCTATTAGATAAACTAGAAAAACTGGTTTATTAATAAGGTTATAGAAAATAGAAAGATTAATATTTTATTTGTGTTTGTGTAGTAGTATTTTTTTTTGAAATGGCAACACTATTACACCAATTGTCAATGTCATATGTGTGTTTAAAAAAGTTTAAAAGTTTCAATATTTTTTTTGGTCTTGAACCTTAGCCTGTTCTTAAAGAACGAACAATTAAAATTTATCAATAAATTCTTTTCAAAATTTTATTTCGATTTCACACAAAATATAGGTTACCTAAAATAACTTTTTCAAAATTGTATAAAAATACAAAAAAGAAACAAACATGAGTTAGGACATTAAAATGAATGATTTTATGAACAAATGATTAAGTATAATATTTGAGCGAAGATGAAATTACGAATGAAAATATGTTTTTTTTAAATGACAATTTATAATATAAAAAAGAAACTACATATTCTATATGATAACAAAGATAATTTCTCACGGAACACGTCGAATTCTAGGAGAAAAATTTAATATATGGAAACCAGAGTTGAAAATAATACAGCAGTTATGTCAACATTTCTATATGACATAGTGCAAAAAGCCAAGATTCCGTGATCAAATTAATAAAAAAAAAGTAACTAAAAATGAGATGAATTTTAAACGAATGTGTTGTGTGTTTTATGTCATATACATATAATATCAGTCCACATTGGCAGTGATTTTAATAAAATTATTACATATGTATTGTAATACAATCAAAATGTTAGTATATAATTTTTCTAACTGACAACAGCGCCTCTGCCTTAGGGGCAATACGGTAGTTTTCAACTACTCAAATTCAATACTTTTATGCAAATGTCAAAAACGATACTTTTCTATGAAATTTTTATGAATAACTGACGTTATAGCTTTTCTTTGGTTAAATGGCTTGCATATTTCTTAATAAGCTAAAAAATACCTAAAGTTCAGTGTATCGATCGATCGATTAATAAAGGTATATTTATTTTTCAATATTTTATTATCGTATTAAAACGTCGAATTAATTTATTTTTGACATAGGATAGAAACTACCCAATTGAAATAATTTGTTTCTCAAAATATTTTGACATAGGCAATGTGACATTAGCTACATTCTCCCTCGACAGGGAAATCGAAATCGATGTATCCGATAAACTTATCTGGCACATAGGTCATGTAAGTTACGTTCCATATAATTATATTTCTTGTATATAGCATCCGTTCAAACAATGTAAGACATGCCCTAAGGTGCACTAAGCATTAAAGGCATTGCATGATTTGAAAAAAATAGCTCTGTAGTTCCATTTATCACCAGTAGAGGCGCTGCTGTTGTTTAAAGTCATATTAAGTTTACATTTTGTTTGATTATTTTCTAAAATGCAAACAATATTACTACTTAAATCTATATTTAAGCTATATCTAGTTTAAATATTATTTTTTTTATACAGAAGATCATATTTCGTACCAATTATAATAAAAAAAGTAATTATGTATATCATTTTATTACAAAGACTTAGTTCGACCATTGACCTAGAAATGAACCAACTGAATTCGTTTCATACTCTTTTATAACGGGATTCATCAAAGTATGACCAAATTGATTTTAATATCTGAATGTTTACTTTGGACAACCCTGGGTCGGTAGTCCGGACATTAGTTTGGACTGCAAGATAAACGCGTTGGGTAGGCAACCGGCTGCCTTGCAACGTGTCGCTGTTTCGCTTCCCGAACGAAACGAGTCCTTGTGTAATAAAAAAAAACTAGAAAATAGCTTAAACCTAGATTTGAATTGAGCAAAAAGTTTCTAAATCTTGTTGTTTAAGTATGAAGTAGACGTAGCTATGCAAAAGTATTTTAATCTACAACCATGTATTTGATCGTAGCGTGACGTTTTATAGCCTATAGCAGTCAGGAACATTGTAGCTATCTATCAGTAAAAGAATTTTTGCAATCCGACCAGCGGTTCCAAAGATTACCCCCTACATACAAACACTACATACCTACAGTTTCATTGGTAACAATAAAACTGAACATTGGATCTGTCTTTTAAAATTTAGGTAGGTCACTACAGTGAATTTCTTAAAAGTAAAACAACTTTAACAAGATCTCGTTAAATAGTTGATAACGTATCCATTATATTTTCTGACTTCGAGAATGATTCTGTGACTTTCGCATTACTTTTTGACAGTTTAAATTATTCCTTATTTTTTGAGGGGGGAAAATTCATCTATAACAACTTCTTTCGCCGACAGTAAGGCGAGAGGGAGTGTCAGACTCTTACTGACTAAAAGCCATCCCGTTCCTTCTCCTGTTCTTGGCTGAGGCCGCAGTGCCTTATTGCGCTTACCCCGCAACCCCGGCTGAACATCAGCTCCAACTGTGATAGTCTACTGATTCTTTGAGGCATGTTTAATTAATTAAAGATATCGAATTATTAGTGTGTTTTAAAGTTAGAACAAATTTAAAAAGCTTTTTTATTTAAGATTATAATAAGGATGATCTAAGCTGAAATAATTTTGCATAGCTACATCTCTCTTCTTTCTTTAATGATAATAAGTTTAAGTGTTAGTATGTCGTCTGTTTCTACGAAACAGCTTGGTTGCTATGGCGACGGTGATAGCCAGAAAAGAAATGATGATGGATGCTCTCAGCGTACATCCACACCAAGCACACAGAAGTACCACGAAGGCGCCGACACTGTATCACAATGAAGCCATTCTTAGCTCTAAGCTGGGTTGCTAATACAAAAATTATTTTTTTACATGCAATTTTTTTGGCAACCCTAATTGGATATAGTAGAAAAAATACTAACTATACTTAATCTTATATTTGAAAAATACATTAGTAAAAGTGCCTACAAAAGAAGTAAAAAATTTAAATCATTAATTTCAGTAACCCCTTTTGGTGGGGCAAATCATCAAATGACTTGAGTGTCAGACTCTTAATGACTAAAAACTCCCCCGTTCCTTCTCCTGCTTTAGGCCGAGGCTGCGGTGACCCATTGCGCTTGCCCCGCAACCCCGGCTAACATTCATTAAACCCTTATAGGCACTTTTAAATATGAAACACATCTTAAAGATAATAAAAAGTGTCAGTCTTTCGGTCAGTCCTCTTAGTGAAGCTAAGAAAACTATGCCTAATGAAATCAACTAAACCATAAATAGGTACTTTTGAAACGTCAAAATAGAATAGTAGTCTGTCAGTCTGTTCGTCAGTGAAGCTAGGTGCTCGTTCCAAATTGTAGTTTCGAATGGAGAAGAACGAGCAAGAAACTCCATTGTTAATTCGTTACTGTTTTTAAACATTATTATTTGTCTAATTTTTATTTTTATTCATAAGTACATCCGACAATCATGCCTGAACAACATTCAAAATCGATCGACATAAGTTTTAACAGTAATTGTATAGAAGTTATGTCCATAATCAATCTTCAACTCAAAACTTAGGTTTCTCGCGAAATAATTTAATGTACTATACCTAATTAACATTCTGAACACTGTACTTAGAATCATTTAATGATTAGCGACCCGACCCGGCTTAACACGGGTGCAACGCTGATACTAAATTACTCCATTATTCAATGGATGTTATTATACATATAAACCTTCCTCTTCAATCACTCTATCTATTAAAAAACACACCAAAATCCGTTGCGTAGTTTAAAAGATTTAAGCATACATAGGGATATAGGGACAGAGAAAGCGACTTTGTTTTATACTATGTAGTGATTTCATTCAGTCAAAAGACGTTGATAAAGTTCGAGTAATCATTAAATGTCTCTAAGTACAGCAGTTAAATATTAAGTGAGGCTGATTTTTCAATGGTTAGATAAAAGTTAGTTGGGGAATAATTATGATGCTGTCGCGTCAGAATGTTTGTATAAGACAGTGACAGCAACAATTTTATTCCACAGATAAAATTTATCTGACTATTGAAAAATCAGCCCTTATAATTATTTTTAGCTAAGGTACATGTAAGTAACAATTTTTATTAAAATATTGCCTTTTGGACCTTGGTTTTTTTATATTCATGATTCTGCAGATTGATTGATGAAAAATGTAAAAGTGTATGAGTGACTATCGAATTTCGGAAAATATCTTTTATTTAAATATAATTTTTTTTTTGTTATGATGACATAATTTATAGACAAGGTATCAACTTTCAATAAAAGTAAGTATTATAATCAATTTACGGTTGCCATTGAAGAAAGAAAAAAAATATATTTTTATTTTTAACGACTTTAACTGTCAAATATGACAGTTGTAATAGATGTGTCAATTAAATCAATAAATACTTCGTAATCAAATCAAAATATGAAATGTCTGAACAATATTTCTATTACGATCTCTGATACATATTTTGAGACTATTTAAATAGAATATAATAATGATCTGTAAGTTGAATTCCAACCCAAAACTACGACAAATATTGTTAAACAGATTCTTAATTAAGTAATTTATAATTTTAGACGTTCTTAAAGATATTTTCCTATATTCTCTTGGTGGTGTATGTTTTTAAATTAAACTTAATTACGTTATAAATTAAAAGATTATGATATTTAATGAAAATTACCACTCTTGGGTGAATTTTGACATGCAAAACATGGTAGCCAAATTTGTCCAAAAGACCATATTTTAATAAAAATAACTATAGGGTTAAATATTATTAGTTTTAAAAATAAAAAATCTGGTATTCTCAATACAAATTTCGCTACCAATTTCATTTGGTTTATTAGTTAAAACGATTTCATTTATATATGTACATATTTAAAGATTTTGTTTGATATAAAATAAGTTAAAAAAAAACAACGTTTCCGCACACTAGGATTTTTTCCTGTGTCGTGCGTGCGTTTACAAACATACAGAACAACAATTTTTACATAACAATTTTTGGATCACACAAAGAGTAGTTCCGTGCGGGATTGAAACCCGCGACAGTTGCCCAGCCACCGCGCCAACCGTGCGATCAATTTTAAATTTTAAATGTCATAAAAATAGGTTATGAAATTTCAAATTATTTAGACCTGTAATTTCTGATTTAGCGATTTATGCCGTTATCGCTGGATTTTCAGTTTCTACTAAGACATTTAAAAATAATAATTAACTTACTTTTATTAACAAAATCTTTAAATACGTAGGTACTTATTAGGTTATATTATAATCAGTTTTACAAAATTTCTGATGCATTTTTAATTATAATAAGTACTGTAAAATAAATAAATATATAGACCAAGCATTACTAGCAAAAAATTGTGAAACTGATAATAAAACCTTCTTTTTTGAAGTCGGTTAAATAGGTCGTGAGTTCCACACAAATGAATAAGGCTGTTCCAATATTAATAACAAACTATAAAGATATATGGGGATTAACAATAATTATTTATTATTATTTTAATAATTGGAACTTTGACTCCTCGTAAAGTCAAGTAGCAAAAAACCTTGGTCTAGCAGTTCTTAAAAAAAATACGTTTGACAAGCGTCCAATATGGCGGCTACGTCAAAGTTTCCCGCCTTTTTTGTTCTATTTAGTAATGGGCAGGTATATTTTGGCCTCTATCTCGCCTGGTGATAAACGATGATGCGACCTACGATGGAGCACGTCTACCCATAAGCAACCTATTCACTCGGGCCTTGAAGACACCCAGGTTGTACCCTTCGGGGAACACAGACTCCGGCAAAGAATTCTACTCCTTAGCGGTTTTGATTATAAAGGGCAATTAAAAAGGCTTACCATGTTAAAAAAAATGCAAAAATATTTAATTTTTTTTTTTTTTTTTTTATATATTGTCGAAAAGACGTTTTTTAATCAAAGTCAAAGTCAAAGTCAAAATCAAAACTGAAATAACGTATTTCAATCTGACCCTTACAGGCATCATTTATTTCAATTACAGACACTTTTGAACGCCTAAAAAGCTTAAACATAAAAAGTGTCAGTCTGTCGGTAAGTCCTCTAGTGAAGCTATTTGCTCGTTCCAAAGTGTAGATTCCTATGGAGAAGAACGAGCAAGAAACTCCATGGTTACTCTTTTTCAATCAATTGCACAAACAGATTCTTATAATCCCCATATATCCTAAAATTGGAGGGTTTAAAAAGCAAAATGATTATGATAAATGTATGTTTTACTATGTATTACCTAAGTTCTTGCTCAGTAACGGCTAGAGTTCTTCCACAAGCTGCAGCCTTCACTGCTAGATGGTCATACTCGCTCGATTGATTTTGTAGCTGAGATTTCAATTCTGAAATATATTTTTTAAGTTTTATAACCTTATGGCGGCCCGGAGATTAAGACTCGCTTTACATGCATGAGGTTTCGAAACCTGGCAAGTAACAATGTAACTTTTTCCAAGTTATATGTACTTCCTATGATTATTTAGACACCACTGACATACGATGAAGGTAAACATTGTGAGGAAACCTAGACTTACAATTTCTAATAATAGGTAAGTTTGAAATCGCCAATCCGCCTTGAGCAAGCGTTGTGATTAATGCTCAACCCTTCTCCGTGTGAGAAGATATAAGTATATTGTATGTTATTTGACGTAAAATCCTAATCTTAATCCTAACTAATATTAAAAATGCGAAAGTAACTCTGTCTGTCTTTTCTTCACGCCTAAAGTACTGAACCGATTTCTGTAAAATTTGGTAGGACATAGTTTGGAACTTGAGGGAGTACATAGGATAGTTTTCATGCCAAGAATCTACTTGAAGTCTCTATTCCACGCGAGTCGTGGGCAAAACCTAGTCATCTATCATAAGCTAGGATAAGTGTCAGCCTTTGAGTCAATTTGGACAACAAATAATGGAAAAAGTATAATATGTTTCATCCCTATTCTTAATAAGTATGTCAGTGACACTTACCGGCTATTTCTTCTATTAACTCTTTCTCCCTCTTAACTCTCTCTTCCTCTCCCTCTTGTCGGCACTCTGTCTTCATTCGCGCCAGACAATTCTCTTTGTCCTCCATAAATTGTTCCCATTGGTCATCTGTGGGTCAGAAATGAAATAAGTCAAGTAAGAGAGCCATGCTTCGGCATGACTGGGTCGGCTCGACCGGAGTGATACCACGGCCTCACAGAAAACCGGCGTGAAATACAGATTACGGTGTTTTTGCCGTTTGAGGGAGATTATCGGAGGAACATTCCTTCCTACCTTCCCCATGGTCAAATCAAATCCCCGGCTATCAAAGCACTTCTCTGGATGGAGGCGCTGATTGCTTACCATCAGGTATTCGGTCTGATCGGTCAGCCGCTATTCCTATAGTAAAGAATTTTTGAAGAAAACGTTTCTCCTGTGTCGTGGGTGTGTTTACAAACATACAATTTCACATACACATCACACCCAGACCCGGCTAAAAGTATTTGTGGATGACACTAAGACTCGTGGCGTGCGAAAATTAAACTTGCTACAATACGCAATTGTGCAGTCATTCTTAAAAATAAATTTTAAGGGGAACACCCAAGACATTAGCCAAATATGGGGATTATGTAAAATCTTCTCTTAAGTCGCAGTTACATATTTCTGCCCTTTTATTGATGTAACTGCGATTACCAAGCCTTTTGCCAAGTATGGGGATTATTGTAAACTATCTCTTAAGATGTAGAGCTTTGATCAACAACGTATTCTTAAATTTTCGAAGGCTTTAATGCGATCCCCAAGTCATCTGCCAAGTGTGGCGATTAAGGGAAAACCTCTTTAAAAATGTTTGATTAAATACTGGCCTTATTTTTGCTAATGATTATAAAAGGTAATGATGTCGATGACTCACCCATCTCCTGTCGATGTTGTTCCTTAAGCTTGTTGACTTGTTCCATCCTCTCGGCAATGAGCTTCAGTCTAGTAGATTCTAGAAGATTCTTCGCTTCGTCAGCCGCCGTGGCTGCTTGTTCTTCTACTTCTCTTAATTTCTCTGTCCATTCTTCTATTAAACTTTCTGTTTATAGACAAAAAACAAACATTCGCAAGGTAAGTAAGATTATTATCGCAATTTCTTCCATAAATCCCCAATACAAGGGGTATTGTCCCACTTGCAACACTTTTGGTGTTACGTTGATTGCTTACCATCAGAATATAATTCTGTTCGTTTGCCTACTTATCACATAAAAATTTGAAAGGATAGGATGCAGCCTCAGTGGTTACTGCTGAGCAAAAGCCTCGTCTCACATGGAGAAGGTCCTTGCATTAACCACCACGCTTGCTCAAGGCGGATTGACTTATAATTAGGAATTATAAGTCCAGGTTTCCTTACGATGTTTTCCTTCACCGTATGTCAGTGGTGTCTAAATATTTTTAATAACGTACATACCTATAACTCGTAAAAAGTCACATTGGTACTTGTCAGATTACGAACTACTTTCAAGTGTGGGAGAGCCAAGCTTCGGCACGAATGTGTCAGCTCGACCGGAGTGATACCTAGGCCTTATAGAAAAATCCCGAATCCTCAAAAGTTTGGCAACGCACTCGTAACTCTTCCATTGTTGCGGATGTCCATTTGCGGCGCTGATTGCTTACCATCAGGTTATCCGTTTGCTCGTTTGCCGACCTATCACATCCAAACTATATTATAAATGCGAAATAACTCTGGCTGTCTGTCTGTCTTTTCTTTACGCCTAAACTACTGAACCTATTACTGTGAAATTTGGTACAGACATAGTTTCAAACTCGATGAAGGACATAGGATAGTTTTTGTTACCAAAAATCTGCAGGAAGTCACTATTCCACGCGAAAAAAGTCGCGGGCAAAAATAAGAAAAAATAAATACCTTTTTCCTTTTCAAATTTTTCGCTCATCTCTTCGATTTTATTGGCATAGGTGATGTCGGCCTTGTCCAGCATATGCCGTAGTTGCATGATGTCCCAGTCCGCTTTGCTATGGGCCTCAGCAATGGCCCTCTCATACTGGGTCTCTTTATTAGCTAGAACTTCTTTCAAACTCTCCAACTGAAAAAGAAGACGGTAGTTTCCAACTAGTCAAATTCAATACTTTCATCCAAATGTCCGAAAACGATGCTTTTCTATGAAATTTGTATGAAACGCCAAATTATGACGGCATCGGAGTAAGCGCAATGAGGCACCGCGACCTCGGCTCAGAGCAGGAGAAGGAACGGGGGGGTTTTTAGTCAGTAAGAGTCTGACACTCCCTCCCGCCCGGCCCTGGGCGAGAGAAGACATTCGATGATATTCCCATCACAAAAAAAAAATGGATATGAAATGGCGGCATAGTATTTTATGCGTCAAATAGCTTACTTATTTCTTAAGAATTATCGTAGATTTTGTGTATCGACAGATCAATGAATAAAAGTATAGCTATTTTTCAAAATTTAATTGTATTGAAACGTCGAATTAATTTATTTTTGATCTAGGATACTAGCCAATTGTTAAATTCAATTAGGTGTAGGGTTCTTCACGAATTGGTCGGTTTGACCGGAGTGATACCACGGCCTCACAGAATATCGGCGTAAAGCAACACTTATATTGTGTTTCGCCGTGTGAGTGAGGTTACCGGAAGCCCAATCGCTTCCCGATCCCTAAATCTTCCAGACCGTTATCCCCAAAAGGTCGGTAAAGCACTTCTAGTAACTCGTTCGTATTTTTTTTATGAAACCTTGCTCCACATTAGGATTTTCTCCTGTGTTTAATATACACATCACACTCAGACTTACGGAACAACAATCTGTGGATCACACAAAGAGTTGTCCTGTCCGGAATTCGGATCCAACACCACAATTCGGATCCACCGAACACCAACCGTGCAGTCGTTCTTACGAGTATACATGGGCGGCCAATTGCTTAACATCAGGTAATCCGTCTGCTCATTTGCGTTCCTATCATTTAAAACAAGGTACATACCCTAGCAGTGACTTCTCTGAGCTTCCTGTCAGCATTTTTGGCATCCTGCTGGGCTTCAGCGCGGAGCTGGGCGAGGGCGGCTCGCGTACGTTCAGCATGATTGCGCTCCAGCGCTGCGCGCGAACTCGCGGCCGCTGACTGCATCTCGCTACGAAGACTTTCCAAAGATTTCGAGTGTTCTTCTTTGAGATTTTGTATATCCTGATGATGTCAAAAGTCAAAAATCATTTATTTCCTAAAAGCACTTTTGATCGTGAAACAGGGGTAAAAAAGATGTCAGTCTGTCGGTCAGTTATTAGGTCGTTTCAAAGTGTAGATTTCTATGTAGAAGGATCCAAGAAGCACTATCAGGTAATCCGTCAGCTCGTTTGTCATTCCTCTTCAGCCTAAAACTGCCTACTGCTGAGCAAAGGCCTTTTCTCACATGGAGAAGGTTGGATTCCTAATTACCATTACCACGCTTGCTCAAGGCGGATTAGCGATTTCACATTTTAATGCGATATTAGTCTTAGCCCCGGTTTCTGAAAGGTCGATCAATGTTAAAATCAATTTAATCTCTTGTCAAGTCATCTGATTGGTTGACTGAATTATCAACAACCAATCAGAAGATTTAACAGGAGATTAGTTAATTTTAGCGTTGACAAACCTTTCAGAAAACTGGTGTTACAAAAAGTCCAGGTTTCGTCACGATGTTTTTCTTCACATTTCACGTCTATGGTGTCTTAATGAACTTTAAGTTAATTTCAAGTGCAAGTAAGAAAACTCGTAAGAAGTCACATTGGTACTTGCCAAGTTTCGGACCCGAACCCTCATGCATGAGAAGCGGGCACCTTAACTTTAGGGCCACCACGACTTAATATATGACATTTGACGTAAGCCATTGCATCAAAAAGAAACATTCTTTTCATGTTTAAAATAAAACTCACCTTCCGATATCTCTCATCCTTCTCCTTCCCACTAGAAGTCTCTCTCTCCAGTAACTCCTTCAATCTGTGCACTTCCAACTTCAGGGCTTCCTCCCTGGTTTCCACTCTCTGCAGCTGCAGCGTCAGGGATTGCACTGAGCGCTGCTGTTCAGTCACTAAGCCTCTTAACTGTTGGAGCTCTGCCACTTGAGCTGGTGATGGCTTTGGATCCGATTTTAATTCTTCTACTGTTGCTGTTAGCTGGAGAAAAATATTGGAGTAAAGCAATGTTTTGATAGCAATTTTTTATGTGAAATTGTAGGGTTTTTAAAGACCTATCAGACCAGGTCATAGCCAGGATACAAGTGTAACTAGCACGGATCAGAGCAGGAGAAGGAGCGAGCGGTTTTTTGTCAGTAAAAGTCTGACACTCAATCCAAGGTGGAAGGAAGTCAGTTAATGATTATCACTCTCAACAACAACAACAACTTCAATTGATGAACGAAACAAAATTACTTAATAAGCCAATGGATAATGACACTAATATTATCGAAATTTTAAATATCAGGATTTTTAACCAGATCTTTGATTATTCGCAGTTTAAATCATTATTTTTGAATCAATACTCTCCGGATTGTGCTATCAGAAAAGAGTGCAGAAAAGAAAGCAATGCTTCTGGACGATTGGGCTGTCTCGACCGAAGCATTTGCTTTTTTTTCACCGAACGAATCATTCTTGCACCATGGAGTCCCAAACTAATCCATCCAACCCTCATATTTCTAACGCCCAAAACTCACTGCACATGCAGTTTCCTTAGTGTTGCGAGTATCCATGGGCGGCGCCAACTGCTTACCATCAGCTAATCCGTCTACTCGTTTACCTCTTTATTATGTTTCTCAGCATCTCGGGCCCGTTTCTCCAGCTCCCTCATCTTCCACTCGCAGTCTGCCAGCATCCGCTCGGCTCTCGCAGCTGCCTGCGATCTCGCCGCCTCGTGGGCCGCGCGCCATTTTGTCGTGCAAGCTTCCGCTGCTGATAATGCCTGAAAAAGGATTTGCAAGTCCTGTTTAAAAGCTAAGGGAGATCTAAGTACATTTTTTATTCAATTACTCTGAAAGAAACATAAGAAAGACATGTCCAAATTGGCCCCGTGCAATAAAGATCAGCCGAGATGGCGATTACTAATGTGGCTGGTTTCATAGGTAGGAACACTGTTCACAAGTCACATTGGTGCTTTTTTACTTTGGGACCTCCCAAAACAGCTGCAACTCCTGTGCACCAGGATCTACAGTAGATACAACCATGAAAACACCGGAATACTGAAGTCCGGTGCGTCCCAGGGACATAGATTCCAAGACAGTCGTCTTGGAACCCGCAACGAAATAATCATAAGATCTTATTTGAGAAAATATAGTTTCCACTTCCTCCTCGATAGATTTAATGCAGGAGACAGAATGACTTAAGCCTTAAAGGCGCAAAAGAGACTGTACAGCTGAGAAAACCTCAGTCACTATGCAAACGCCACGGATTTTACTGTAGTGTGGGAGAGCCATGCTTCGGCACGAATGGGTCGGCTCGACCGGAGTGATACCACGGCTTCACAGTAAACTGGCGTGAAACAACCACAGCGTTGTGTTTCGCCGTGTGAGTGAGGTGACCGGAGGCCCGATCCTTCCCCTGCCTTGACCCTTCCCCAATCCCTAAATCTCCAAATCCCTAATCCCTTAAAAGGTCTGCAACGCACTCGTAACTCCTCCGTTGCGGGTGTCCATGGGCTGCGCTGATTGCTTACCATCAGGTAATACGTCTGCTCGTTTACTGACATATCACATAAAAAAAAACTTTAGCGTTTGCCAGGTTTCGAATTCTCTGAGCCACTGTAACATACTTTTACTATTACACTGTTCTGCCATTAACTAACGCCTTATTATAAGCTAATTAGTCCTGACCTCTTGAGCTTTCTGCTCTTGTATTATCTTCTCCTGCTCCAGCCGTTCCTTGTCCCGCTCGAGTGCGAGCACTCTAGACTCCAGCTCTGCTCGCTGTCCGAGCACATCCTCTAGTTCTGCTCGAATCTGACGAAGGGATTCATCTGGAAGATTGAAAAGTTGGATTGCATTATTATTAATATTAATCTAGATTATTTAGACACCACTGACAAGAGGTGAAGGAAAACATCGTGATGAAACCTGGACTTATAATTTCTTATTATAAGTTTGAAATCGCATGTGTGATAAGAGGCCTTTGCACAGCAGTGGGCACTTAATGCATAGGCTGATAATGTGATGTGATTATTGAGTGTTTGGCGTGCTGTTAGTTCAGGTGTTTCAGTTTTCAGTTTCAGGTTCGTCTGAGTCGCGAGGAGCCAATGGAGCCCTCGTCTGAGCCAAAGTATGCAAGTGGTGACTAGTCGTTCAGCGTGGAGAATTAAGAGAAGGCCTTTGTCCATCAGTGGACGTCTTTCGATTGATGATGATGATGATGATGTTAGTTTAACTCAAGAGTCTCCAGAGTCTCATAAAAAACAGGCGTAAAGGAATACAATTGTTGTGTTTTACCGTGTGAATGTTGAGTAAGGTTACCGAAGACCCAATCCTCCAGCTTTTCAAAGGCATTTGGAAATCGTCTGGTGCTGCGAATGTCTAAGGGCGGCGTCGATTGCTTATCATCAGGTGATTTGTTTTTCCTAAGACTACTTTTTAGTGTGGTTGAGCCATGTTTGGGCATGAGTGGGTCGGCTCAAATTATATGACGGTCTCACAGAAAACCGTGTTTCGCCGTGTGAGTGTGGTACTGGAAGCCCAAACCTTCCTCTCACCAAAAAAAGAAAAGACTAGAGAGACTGAATTTTTTATATAGACATTTTTTATATTTTAAATGTTTTTTACTAATTTATAGAATCAGACTTACCTTTGCGGAAATCTATGACATTAAATGTAAGGAAAAATATTTAGTGTAATATTTAGTTAAGCGACAAAAATCCAGGCTTGTTGCAGGATGCAATCCCACTCCTATGCAATAATGTACATGCTAACATTTAATGTTTTTTACTATTTTTTTAAAGAAATATTTAAAAAAAATATTTATGTTTAATAAAGATATGTTCATAAGATATTACCATTCCGCCTATGCAGTTGGTCAGCGAGGTTCGAAGAGCAGGTCCTGGCTGCTGTTAGCTCTTCCTCCAAAGATCTGCTCCTTTGGCGGACCAGCTCCGACTCCTTGTAAGCTGCTGCCAGCTCGCATTTTAGCTCTGAAAAGAAAGAAATATTATAAGCATGGTCTATTTAAGGCTTAAGTCTTTCTGTCTCCTGCATTCAATCTATCAAAGGAAGTGGAAACTATTTAGTTTTTTTTTCTCCAAAATTAATATCTTCTGATTTATTTCGTTGCGGGATCCAAGACAGTCATTCATGTCCCTGGGACGCAGCGGACTTCAGTGTTCCGGTGTTTTCATGGTTGTATCTACTGTAGATCCTGGTGCACAGGAGTTGCGTTAGGGAGGTAGTGGGGGGCTTGTACCAAGAAAAAAGTGTAGTTCATATTTTTGTTACTTTCGCTAACACAGTACAGGAGATGATTGGAATTAAAAAGTTTGTGGCAGTCCTGACATATGGCTCTGATGTGAGAGGGTGAAATAATCTCTACAAATAATCTAGAAGGGTTTGAGATTACAGTTTAAAAGGTTCAGGTTTAACAGAGAGTGCTGCAGCCCGGTCTCTTGTAAGCAATCGGCGCCGCCCAAGGACATCCGCAACACCAAAAAAGTTACGAGTACATTGCCGGCCTTTTGGGGATAAAGGTTTCGGAAATTTTAGTAATTGGGAAGGCATTTTGGTAGCTCGGGGAATTGAGCTTCCGGTAACCTCACTCACACGGCGAAACACAACGCTGTGGTTGTTTCACACCGGTTTCTGTGAGGCCGTGGTATCACTCCAGTCGAGCCGACCCATTCGTGCCGAAGCAAGACTCTCCCACACTTAGCTCTCTGTGTAATATGTGATACCTAAATGTATTTTCTCCCGTATCGTCATCAAATTCTAAACATATCATCAAATTAATTACACAAGACACAAGGATGTTTTTCAAGCCAAAAATCCGCACTAAATGACTTCCCGTAATTAAATTTTCCAGTAGTTTCGATCCGAGCTATATTTACAATCCGATGCAATGTCTCTACACTGCGCCCACGCCAAGAAATAACTTCTCAAATTACAAACACGAAGACGCTGGATCCGTTAAAGGATTCTGGGAAAAGTTATCAGAATATTCTCCAGAGAGAGAGAGAGAGAGAGAGAGAGAGAGAGAACTGAGATCTCTTGGCTGCCTGCTAGGTTTTTATGAGGTCCTATACCATGGGCAATCTAGCAGACGGATAAACTAAGGGGGCGTCCATAAATTACGTGAGGTGTTTAAAGGGAGGTCGGGTGAAATCTTATCTAATCTTACGTTGGAGACAGAGTCTTGGTAAACATCACGTATTTTTTTTTCTGATTTAAACAAAAAAAAAATTTTTTTTATAATGTGACGGAAAACTCTTTGACATCATGACGTCAAGGGATGGTTGTCAAACGTTGCCTACAGATTGTAAATTTCGTCGTGAATTGTCAACACGAGTTGGTGTAATCGGTAAGGCGTGTGGATTACACCACAGAGACCCCGAGTTCGAGTCCCGCCGTAAACATGAAGTTTTTTAGTTGATGGAAGTTTTGTCGAACTTTCTGGAATTATTTGAGTGAAAGAAATGAAAAATTAAGGAGCGAGAAGGAGAATAAATAAAAATGAATAACGAAATTATTGGAAGGTTCTGGAGGCATGACGATCAAAAAGAATAACGAAATTGAATGTTCTAGAACCTGACCGGGGGTATATAAGCGGAACTGCGGCTCACCGCTGGCAGTTGAGTTCTAAGTCTAAAGCGATTCGGAAGAAAAGGAAGAAGTGGAAAAGAAGAAAAGTGAGTGAAATAGTGAAGTGCAGTGAAATAGTGAAGTGCAGTCAGTTAAGTGAGTTAAGTCAGCGTGAACGGCAAAGTTGTGTCAGTCGGCCGGACTCTGCTGGAGAGGAACGCCGATAACTTAACTCCGTGGACGCTGTAACTTAAGTGCAATAGAAAGTCTGAAAACCGGTATTAGTGTTTCATTTCATCCAATCCCGTAACCCAAGCCCGCATAGTCAGGAACGTGACGTCAGGCACGTAACATTTGGTGTCAGAAGTGGGATTGGAGAAAAATGCCGCTAGTGCCGCAGGACGTAAGAGGAGTGAGTACCCGTGCAATGTCAGAAGCGCAGCGTGTGAGGGAAGAGGGTGCTGCAGCTCAAACCAGCGATGCAGAAGCCAAGCCTGTGCAGGTGGATCTTCTGCTACAGCTGCAGCAAATGATGGCAGAGCAAGCGCGCCGCCAAGAAGAGCAAGCGCGCCGCCAAGAAGAGCAAGCGCGCTGTCAGGCAGAACAGCTGCGGGAGCTGAAAGAAGAGCAAGCGCGCCGCCAAGAAGAGCAAGCGCGCCGCCAAGAAGAGCAAGCACGCTGTCAGGCGGAACAGCTACGGGAGCTGAAAGAAGATCAAGCTCGCGCCAAGAGGATCAAGCTCGCCGCCAAGAGGAGCAAGCGCGTCGCTTGGAAGAGATGCATAAGGATTTCACGAAGGGACTGCAAAAGGCTGTCGAACGGGTACAAGAAGTGGAGGAAGGGTTAGGCAAGTTGGAACATCGCGTCATGGCGATAGAGGAGAGAGGAAGAAGAGATCTCCAAAATCAAGCAGGAAGTGACAAGCCCAAGCCCTTTGAAGAGCCGAAGCCGTCTTGCAGCCGTTTTTGACGCCCCAAATGTGGCCTCAAGCGCAACGAAAGGGCTCAAGATTCCCCATTACGACGGAACAACATCCTGGACGCGTTCAAGCTACAGTTTGAGACACTTATGGAGGCTTATGGTTGGACTCAGAAGGAAGCACAGTCAGCCCTCACCCTGGCCCTCCGTGATCAAGCGCTCTCAGTGCTGGAAGCTATCGGCGCAAGTGGGGATCTCAGCTTAGTGCCCTCCTCGACGCACTTGAGGCACGTTTTGGAGACAGCCACCTCGAGCACGTGTACAGAGCGCAATTAAAAGAGCGTACTCAGCGTGCTAATGAGAGCCTACAGCAATGGTCCGTGGAAATCGAGAAACTTGTGCGTCGAGCTTTCCGGTCGACTCCGTCAATGATTGAAGGCACGCTTCTCCAAGCGTTCATTGACGGTATTCGGGACCCCGAAGTACGAGCTGCTGTTCATCTGGGCCATCACAAGAACATGAAAGAAGCTCTGGCCCATGCATTGGAAGTGGAAGCCGTGCGTGGTAACTCCCGTACCTTACGTCTGCGGGAAATGACGACAACGGAGCAGGTACCTCCACGCCGTCGGAACTTCATGTGCTATGGATGCGGAGAGCGTGGGCACATGCGGAGCGACTGCCCGAAGAAGGTGAACCGCCAGGACGCGGCGGTCTCAACTTCTGACCAGCAGGGAAACTAATCCAGCCAGGGCTGCGGGGTGGGCGCTGGCCGGTAGTGGAATAACCCCAACAATCTACATCAAGCAAACTAACGATGGAAATACTCTGGTGATAGACGGTCAAGTAAATGGGAAAAACAGTCAGCTAACATTAGATACTGGAGCTTCAAGGACGGTGATAAATGTTCGGCTGCTCGGGCAAAACATCAGGAAACACGTTAAACCAATTGTTGGCCTACGAATGAAATCAGCTACCGGCCAGTGCATACCGATAAGTGGAAAACTGCATGTAACAATCAAAATTGGGGAACGTGTTTATCGACATGAGGTTATTGTGGCCAAAATTCTGGATGACTGCATCCTGGGACTTGACTTCCTGCAAGGGCACCAGTGTAACATCGACTTAAAATCTGGAGTATTACTATGTGGAACTGAGGAAATTCCGATGAAGGGTGGAACCCTGGGAAAAGTTTGCTGTTTAAGAAGAACTGTTCTTGAACCAAAATCACAGACTCTCGTACCAATCGCATTACCTAGGAGGAGGAAGGAAGTTTACCTCGAAGGTGCGCTGTGATTGATAAATCGGAACACGTAAACTCATGGCTACCGGCAAGGAACTGTCGTGGGGTCATCTGATGTCAACCGCATTCCGGTATTCAACTTCAGTGATTCAAAAATTACGATTGAAGAAGGAGAGCCTGTGGGCGTTTGGAAGAAGTGGCCTGGATAAGAAAATGCTCGGAGAATCTTGTGAAGAAGGACAGTACGGGAATAGACTTTGTAACGAAAATCTTAGACGAAAACAAAAGTCTGACAAAAGTGGAGACTATGAAAGCTAGAAATTTACTCTTCGATTCTCTGATGTGTTTTCAAGAAGCGATGGTGATATTGGCCGAACTGGTTTGGTGAAGCATAAAATAAACACAGGTGATACAATGCCAATTCGTCAAAGGCCCAGACGTATACCATTCGCTCGTGAGAAAGAGGTTGAACAAATGATTGACGATATGAGGAAAAATGACGTGATAGAGCCCTCTTCTAGCCCTTGGTGTTCACCTGTCGTGCTTGTCAAGAAGAAAGATGGTTCAACGAGGTTTTGCGTAGACTATCGACGATTGAATGATGTAACCAAGAAGGATAGCTACCCGTTACCAAGAATCGATGACACACTTGACACACTGAGTGGCATGAAATGGTTTTCAACGCTCGATCTGAAAAGCGGCTATTGGCAGGTGGATTTGGATCCCAAGGACAAGGAAAAGACCGCATTCTCAACTGGGAAGGGACTCTGGCAATTTAAGGTGATGCCATTTGGATTATGCAATGCACCGGCAACCTTTGAGCGTTTGATGGAACAGGTGCTGGCGGGACTGCTGGGCGAAACCTGCCTAGTTTACCTCGATGACATCATCGTTGGACGGGATTTTGACGATCATCTAAGAAATTGGAAAGGTACTCGAAAGCTGCGTGGAGCAAATTTAAAGTTGAGTCCAAAGAAATGCTCTTTCTTCAAGCGCGAAGTGAATTATCTAGGACATGTTATTTCTGAGAGAGGAATTGAGACTGATCCAGCCAAGACTGCCGCTGTTAAGGAATGGCCAACACCTAAAGACAAAACGCAAGTTCGGGCATTTCTTGGATTGCTCGTATTATCGGCGGTTTGTGAAAGGATTCTCGGACATTGCCAAGCCATTGCATCGATTGACAGAGGAGAAACGTGCCTTTATCTGGGACGAGGATTGTGAGCAAGCCTTTCGCGAGAACTA